TTCCATCCCTCACATCTTAACTGTGTATAATTGTATTTCTTTACAACAAAAGAAGTGTTTATGGTAGGAATGTGCAGCTCCCCCAAACCTACACCCTGAATAATAACACTTTTTTYCCCCAGTTATTCTAGGATGAATAACTCTTAAACTATTCTTGAATGTTAAAAAAAAAAGAAATCAGTTGAACCAGATGCTTACTTATCTATTTTAGAGAACTAATTATCCCTGTTGTTGGTAGAGCTAAAGCTTACAAAATTGCTTCCATCTTTGAATTACTATAATTAAGACGATAACTTCCACATCTAGTTAACATTGCTGCGCAGCTGCTGCATTCATTGACATGCAGATTTTGGATTTTGTAAATTTTCTGTCATTGTGAATAAAAATTTTAAATACTTATTTTCATTTCCAAAATGTCTGTTTCTCATAAAGAATTCTTTGTAAAGCAAATCAACTGAAACCAAACTTCTGTAACATCAGAGGAAAATTTGGTGAAGTTTGGTTAGATGATAYTACATTTTAAGAAAAAATGTAACCACAAATAACTTTTGTAGATATGATCACTCTGAATTTTGAATCCCAGTTCGTAGGGATTTGAATTGAATGTCAAATCTGGAACAAGTCTGATGTTTGACTTCTGAAATGTTATTTTGAAAGAGGTTAGTGCAGGAGTTAATCTGCCACTCTGACAACCTGAGGTAGTTTGCAAAATTCTAAAATTAATTTTTTTGTGATTTTATTAAATATCATTAATATGAATAAAATGCATTCATGAATACCAGCCACAATGTGATTTATGATATTTTTTTCCATGTATCTTATTTAAATTCATTTCTGTCAAAGTCAATGAGAAGGTTTGTGCAATCAGTGTTATCTCGTTTGCTTACATATTCCAACAGCTTCAGGTGTGAAATTCCTCAAGACCTGTAAATTCAGATAGATTTTGAGAGATTTCCTTATCATTATTCATTTATAATAACCAGCATTGCTGTGAAATTGCTTGATAGTGTTGGTTGGTTATTTAGATTTACATTGTTTTTCTATGGCCTTTGCTTTCATTACACGAATGCCTCATGGGCATTAATCAGTTTTGCTCAGCGAGTTGAAGATGTCCCCTGAGTAAACCGCTAAAATAAAGAATCAAATATCGATTTATGCTGAAACTGAGACATTGATTTCTCTGTCAGACTGAATCTGCATGTGAAACGAGGTGCTCATTTTAGAGGCTTGCCGTGGGACTGTGGGTGGGTGAGGAGGAGGAGGGTGGTTGGGGTTCAGATGAAGAGCCGGGGCTGCGTGCAGGTCGCAGGTACTCAAAAACGTGCTCAGAAATAGCTCTGGGCAAGGGTGCTGGCTCTGGGGAACATTTCAGTGGGTCCAAAAGCTGTGTCCAGTTACCAGACCCACCGATGTCCTGCAGGGTTCAGTTTCAGGGACACTCCGRTACACGTAACAAATGATATTTTTACTGCAGGCAGAGAAGTTAACTGTGGAAATAGTAAAAGCTCTACTTCCATAGTGATGCAAAGGCATTGTTTCAGCTGTTTCAATATAAAATATCCATTTTACTATGTGTTTTCAGAATTAAATCGAGGTGCTCCTGTGTTCTGAAGGTTTCTAGACTCAGGTTTGGCTGTGTGGGTGTTCCACCAGGGGAGGGAGGGCAGCACCTCCAGAGCTCCCCAAGGGCTGGAGCTCGACCCCACAGCTCTGGCCCTACAGAAACTCTGCCCTATTAAAATTGTGTTTTGCCTAAACTGGAAGACCTGGAGGGAATTTGCTCTCTGAAATTATGAAGTGGGATCTGAGAAAAAAAAAAAGGTTAACAAGACCCATAGCAAATTGTGAGAGGAAAGGAGGCTYAGGGCAGGGTTCACYTTGTGTYTAATGAAAACAGCAAAACTTTGGCTTATAAATAGATAATAATGCTTGAAATCTCTCTGGACTGGTTAAAAACTGTTTTCTTTCTAGTTAAAAAGTAAGAGAGTTAAAAAGTAAGAGAGACATAGCCAACCTTTTCCCCTTTTACTTTCTCCTATTACTCCTGTCTTTTTTATGTAGATCGAATTAATTTTTGAGCAAGAAGACATACAGTATTGTTTTGAGAATTTGTGAATAGTCGTAAATAATAGTTAATGCATTTTAAAGGATTAACAATATGATTTCCTCATTATTATTGGCCTGGTAGCACAATTTTGAACCCGCCACTGTCTGGCTAAAAGGCATCTTCCAGGAAATAATGTTTTCTTCATTGGAACTGTTTCTGCCAACACTCAAATTGACTAGTTTGAATTTGTTTGGCACAAAGCCCTGCTTAAAGCCAGCTTTGCYTCTTTCATATTTTCCACTGTTCTTTAGGAGGTGCTCAAATGCTGTTGTAGTGACTTGTTGGAGAAGAGCTCATCCCACTGAAGTCTGGGTGTTACCTCCTCCCTTCACCCTTTTTTTGTGTTTTAGTGACTACCAGAACTTGATGACTCTTGTTCTGCATTTCCTCTAGGATTCCTAAATCTGTTATAAGTTTTTTTTTCTCTATATCCAGAGAGCTCTCTTCAGCCACTAGAGAGTATGGCTGTACCTGTGTATATTCTCAACATATAAGAAGGATTTGAGAAGTTGGGTGTTGTGTTTTTARTCTCTGTGTTTTAGCTTTGCCTTAYTGCCAACACACATAAGTCACAGAAATGGCTAAACAGACCCAAGTGGTGTTTYTCTTTYGCAGRTGAGAGATCCAGAAAAATTAAAAGTTATCCAATGTTGAGGGTCCACAGAGAATAATGTTTTATTCCCAACTTGGGGCTAGGCTTTCACTTCAAGCCATTCCCTCCTCTGGGTACATTTGTGTAAACCTGACCTATTTTAAGGGGTCTCAGCTGTGCTTGCTCTCCAGCCCTTTAACCCTTTCTCTTTTGGCTCCTTATCTTGGCAAAGACAGCAGAGAAAATGGGTTTGTAAAACTCTGTTCAATTTGGAAAACGCAGGCAAGCAGTTAAAAAGCTGTGAGTTTGGGACAGTTCACTTCCCCTGTTATGCTGTGGTTTAAATTTACCAAGTTTCCATAGCCAGCTCCAGACGTTGCAGTGGTAAAGTGTGATTTAGGAACTCTCTTTTAGCAAAGAGATATGACTGTAGAGAATGGAGCTCTGTTTTCTCTCTATACTAGTGGTTTATATTGAGCAATATCTTAAATTCTTATGYTTTATAGTAAAGTACCCAGGATTTCTTTTACTTCTTACATGGTAATATATATTACACTGGAATATTCAGGAATTTCACGTTGCAAGAAAGATTTTGTGCTAATATAAACAATGATTATCTGGTATTAATGTTGGAATTGAGTATTCTGGGTTTTTTTTTCAGCAGTTACTGGAATAGAGTAACTTAAAACATGTTAAAAATATCCATGAACTGAGATTTTAAGCTTCTTAAAATCAGGCTGTTAGTTTTTCCATGAGATGTGCACAATGGCAATCAGTTTTTGGATGGACTGTTGTTGAATAATACATGAATGTAAATGGAGATTGTATGGAATCAGTTGGATAATTTGGAGGAATGCTTTAAGTACACTAAAGAGCCTGAATAGCAGTTAATGGTGCTTCAACTTTATTACTGTTTATTATAGTTGGCAGTTCGCTTGTATTTTTTTCWGCATCAAGTTCTCTAGTTTCCTATAGAACAGCAATAAAATAAGCTTACAAATAATAATAGTCAGATGCACCGTGTCCTGTGGCAGCAAAATACTTTTGCATTAAATTGTAGCTCTTGGCAGGCAGAGTGTGTTTATTGTTGGGCAGCTCCAGCAGATCAGTCAGCRCAGGAAGGACCTGGCAGATGTCAGCATTTGGGGTCTGCAAGCAAAGAGGCTTTGCCTGTGCCTGGGGAGCCCAGTGTGGAGCTTCACAGGGCACCCCTGGAGCGGGGCCAGYGAGCTCCTTGTTCTGCCTTTGCTCAGCCTTCCCTGCTCCTGGCTATTGTCCCACCCCTGTCAACGCCACTGGGATTTTTGTCACGTTCTGAGAACTGCTGAAGTGAGCAGGAATGTTTCTGCCATCTAGGAAGTGAGCTGGAGGTGCAATGAATAGATCTATGGGGCTGTAATACTTGGTCAGTTGTMAGATTTTGCTGGGAATTTCATCTGTTCTGTTTAAACAGCAGGAAAAGTGTCAATCACAAAGGGATTTAACTATCTAGTTGCTCTTCTTCAGAGCTCCCATGATTAAAAAATGTTTCCCTGGCCCACTGCAATTACTTTCATCATCTTTAGAGTTAAATGTTTGCTACCAGCAGTCACAAGCTGGGAAGCAAATGGAAGAACACATCCTTTTCTTCATTTGGCTCAACTSTGAAACTCCAGCAGGGGAAAAATAAATCTGAACAGTCCCATAAGAAGCGTCACTTTCCTTGCTGGAATGAAGTCATGGCAGTGAGTGGAGTTGATGTGGTGGAGGTGTGTCTGAAACTTGTTTTGCAGAGTTTTCCATCAGTATTGCCACATGTGTTCAGAAAGGTTTTTGGATCCCAGGTTTTAAGTTTGATCAGTGATCCTGCTCATCTGCTGGGTTGTGCTAACGCTGCTCTGTAATTTTAACTCTGCYCTAAGGAATATGCTTTGCTTTCTTATAACCAAGCCAATAATTGTAACAGATTTATTTGCTAGGTTGGATATTGGTGAGAGTTTCCAAAGCACTCTGGGGTATTTCACATTGTTGTTTGCTTTTTGTGTGAGTTGTAAAGCATGAGTTGCACATATTCTGTGAATCAGGAATGAGTTACCAGCTATCTCCAGTGACCTGTGCAGCAAATTCTTCTAGAGGGTCGAACCACTTGCTGCTGCCCAAGTCCCTTTGGTCCCTGTAACATTTCCTTCTTTGCAGGGTCACTGCTGAAAGGGAGAGGGTGCGAAAATTCCACCCTAAACACTGAGAGATTCCTCCTTGGCTGGAGGAGATTCTGCCTCAAGGTGCTGACTGTGCCTTATCATTTCTCTTTCTTTCTTTCAGYTGTCGGACAAGCAACAGGAAGAGTTTGATTGTAACATCCAGCACATCTCCAACTCTCCCTCGGCCACATTCCCCTCTTCATGGACACGCAGGTAACTCCCTGGGACTGCTTCACCTGGGAATCAGTAACATAAATGTCAGGAATCATTTTAGGAATCTGAACATGCTGATACTCAGCATGAAAATGTGCTCTTTGGAAATTATTTTGACTGTAGTTTTACACCTTGTCTAAATTGTAAGAGGGTCCTTACAGTTTCAAAATAAATGTTTTATGTTCTGCACTTTCTAATTTGCTTTCCTATCCATCCTGCACCCTTCCTGGGGGATTCAATCCTCTTACGTCCTGCAAAAGAGCCTGAGATGGAAAAGGAAGCCAAATAAAATTAGATAAATACATTTAAGTGAATCTCTTGTTTTGAGTCTCTGAGCATGGCTAATCTGTGCCAGTGATTTAACTGCAGTTCTCAGGAGGAGGAACATCCTGCTCGTTTCYGTGTGCCTCCGGCAGCCCGGCAGCTGTGCAGTGTGCCATCTTATGGTCTCTGGCTGCTACTCACAGCAACAGGAGGCCTTTGGGATTTTTTATTTCTTTTTTTTTTATGTTGCTGCCAATTTTCCCATGGCAGCAACTTGGAAATGCTCATTTCAGAGCACATGGGCAGGGGCTTGTTAGTCRTCAAAGTGAAGTGTGTGGAGATGTTCTTCCAGTAGAAAAAGAAGGAACGATGCTTCAGGAAGGGTCACACATGCAGATTCAACAGCTTGCCTGAGCAGCATGTTCCCTCAATGCTTCTGTTGCTGAGGGAGGTAGGTGATGTGATGTGACGACTTTGTTTTCACTGTTTCAAAATGCCAGAGAAGATGGTTGTGCTCCAGGTATGCTCCTGGGTGCCAGTCAGGAGCACCAAACATCTGGAACATCTGTGGCACATCATCCACAGCGGAGCCTCTCTGGAATCGCGTCACTGCCGCGTGTGAGACAAGAAATGCTGCTCTCACCGTAACCCGACTGTCTTCCTCCTACGTGGCAGAATGTTCTGTGAATGCTTTCTGGAGACTGAAACCAAGGCRGTGCTGAGAAAGAACAGCAAGTTGGGAGTAGCTCAGCTAGAAGGAGCCATCTGCTTCTGTTTGCAGCGCTTTGCGTCTCAAGAGGTGACATCCAGCCTGTTGAAGGGAAAAAGAAGGCCAAAGTCATTGTTCAGGAATGCCCATAAAAGCCTCATTCATTTTTAAGTTTTTTGTAAAAATCAGTCGCATTTTCCTGGGATTCTGTAAAAAACCCAGTCATGGAAGGCTAGGAAGGTGCTTTAATTACATTGTCGTTCTAAAATGACCCATGATTTTCAAATTAAAATGTTAACAAAATCTCGTAGGTGGTACATTAAAACCATTTTCTGCTTCAGAATCTGAAATAAAATGCAGGGCCAAAAATGTGTGCAGGACCATCCCCTTTCACTTCAACCTCTCTTGTTTCTATTGTGCGTGGTTATAGTAGTGATAACTTCGTAAAATTTAGTTTCAACAAGACTTTTTTTTTTTGGTAGAGATTCTCCGCTTAGTTACATTGTGCTTTGAATTCAAATATGTGTTGGTTTCACCAAATTCTRAATTAGTTCTACAAGCCTTTAAATAAGGTAAAGAAATGTCCTTGAATGGGAGATTGCAACAAGATCATTGCTCAGAAAACAAATGCCAAAGTGTTCATAATAACAGCAATTATATTTTGTTTTCTTTTATTTTGATTTGCTTTTCTAATCTGTCAGTTAAAAAAATTAAAAGCTTTTTCTGGTGGTTTTGATGCTGTTTCAGGTTTTACAAACTTACCATTTATTAGAAGTATGTGAGTGCATTCTAAAAAGAAGAGTAACTACTCAGTGGTGTTCCACTTTACTTTAACAGTAATTGTCAAATATTTCCTTTCTTTTTTTTCTCTGATGTTGCATATGGGATTTAAAATTATTAATTAAAAGGACATCCTTTGTTAGCTGCAAGAGTAGCCAGTAGAGCATAAGAAGATAAATTAATTGTAATTTGAGTTCTCTACCAGTCCTATATTTAGGAGTCTTCCCTGGGAAAAAATAATTTATTCAAGAGACAAAAGTAGATGAAATTTAGAGTCACAAATATTTTCTTAAGAAATATCATATATGAGGGGTGAATTTGAGAACAGGCTGTGATATTTGTTTAGTATTTGAACAGAATCTATCAATCTGTTTGTTCAGGCACACGCAGTGATAAGTTACTAAGAAATGCTGCAGCCTCTCCCTGGCCTCTTTTGTCTTGAGCTTTTGTCTTGTCTTCTTGATGCCCATTCTGAACCTCTCCTACAAATCAAAGGAACAGCAAGCATGCAGAGAAAACAGGGAGGCTTTCTGTTTCTGTTGAGACACCACACTAAAGTCCTGTGTGGCAGTAATCYCAGGAGTTATTCTTCTGTACTTGATGCAAAAGTCAGTGGGTGAGATACAGGACAGTTGTCTTTCTGTCAGTGACTTAGTGTCTCAAAAGCATCCCAACATATGCCAGGCAACTTCATATCCTAGAAAGTTTAGAAGAAAAGTATTATTTAAAGAGTTCTCAGCTTCTGAGGAAGAAGCACATCCAAACARTTTTGACTGTGCCATGAAATCACTTCTGAATCAAGAACACTGAAGTGTGCTAGTTCAGTTTTCAAACTGTATTTGAAATAGCATTTTCCAGAATGAGGTGGTACCTTGGCCTAAAGAACTACAGCTTGTGGGGAAGTCACTTTGCTAGTTTAGTCTCCCAGACTTGTAGTGGCCAGTTTTAGCAATGCAAGTTTGAAAATTTTGCCTTTATTCTATTCTATTTTTTTTTTGTTTAGGAAAGAGAGGGGGAAGAAGAGGTGTACATGTGTGTATTCCTTACTTTTTTTTTTCTGTTCCTTTGAATCCRTATTTTAAAATATGAAAATTACAAAGAGCTTACACCGTGAGGTTGATAGCTCTGTTGCCATCAGATTATATTTTAAATCAAAAAGCTCAAGATCAAAGAAGTAACATTATAATTAGTAACGAGATAGGTACTGACAGCTGGAAAATTGAAGCTCAGGCTATTTTAAAATTTGCTTTCCACGGCTGTAAGGTAGCCAGGTTGCTCTCTGACTTCCAGKGGAGGCACTTGTCACTGCTGGGACCTTTGCCCTGCTCCCATCTGTAATGACACACGGACGGAACTCCTCACAGGCAGCACTGTGCTGCTGAATTAAATGGCTCTGCTTTACACTGCAAGTTCAGTTCCACCTTCTGGCAGAAAAATGGGTATTGCTGAGATGTCCATTTATTTATTATTTTTAGAGTGTGCAGAGTGTGTAACATCCCACCCTAGATCCTGCCCTGGCCATCAAAGCTGAGGTTCTTCAGCACAGTCATGCCTGTGATCTTGGGTGGTGTGAGAGCACCGTGGCATTCATTGTTTTTGAGACTGGTGATACACAGGGTGCTTTAAATATTTAGACCATTTTGAAATTTGTGTATGCTGGAAGGCATCTAATTCTGTAGTGTGCCACATGACCTTCAGCTGCTTGCTATAATATTCAGCAAATAATTTGAATATCCTACACAGAAGACCACGAAAAACTTTATCTGTTGTATTTATTATGCAGTTTTATGACTCTCAGAAGCAGGCTTTACAACATGGTTCTGTTGTGAGTTCTTGGAYTCATAACCTGACTCTGATGAGTGTCACGTTTGTGGGGGTAGGTGAGGATTTCATTGCCTGTAAGGTCTGGTTTCAGATTTTGAAGGCAGCGGATTTACAAACGCTTTGGCTGCATCCTTCTTCCTGCGTCCGGAAGATGTGAAGGTTCCTGCCTGAATTATCGGCCTTGGTGTAGCTGTGTTGATTTACCTAATGGGCAATCATTCTGTGTAGCAGCCTCCCTGGAGACAGAGGCATTTCAGGTTCAGTAGTGGCCAACCATAACCCTGGAGCAACAGGGGAATTTACCTTTGCTGCAGAATAAATAGGGTTTCGATCAGTCTTGGTGAGCGAGACCATTGCACTAAGGCTTCTCTTATTAAAATGCCTTCATCTAGAGCAGATGCAGCAGTGCTGGGAAATTTTGGGGAAAGTAGTAATTCCCCTTCTCCCTGTTGTTGTTTTAAAAGCTTCACCCAGACTTGAATTRAGTAGAAAAACTAATTGCTTTTCATTTTAAAACTCGAAGCAAATCACAGGGGATCTAATTAAAATTCCGGTGTCTGAAAGGAAATATGCCATATACATCTGAAAAAGTAGTTGCTCAAAAATTAGCAGTATTTCTSTACCACACAGTGCAGGCTCAGAAGAGTTTGAACACCCACATACTTAATTTCAAAATTTAAAAACTGTCATTACCCAATTTGCTCAGTTACTCTGAAATTCTATTTCCATYATACCCAAAGTTCAAAGATTGATGAAGATATAAAAATGCAATGACAGTTCATTGCTTGTTTATAACAACATTGGGCAATGAGCTTTTCATTCAAGACTATCATCTTGACACAGCAGTTTATTGCCAGTAGAACTTGAAAAATAAGAAGGCAAAGACCAAGGTTCCCACCAAAGCTGGCAGCTTTCCTGCAAAACCAGGGAAAGCCTCCCTCCTGTTGCATCCCAAAATGCTCCTTCAGGTTTCTSATAGCAAGGGATTGGTGACCCTCAGCTAAGGCAGGGGCTCCTTTGGACCTGTGTGTTCATGCTCGACTGAATTGTTCACTTCTTAAATCCTCATAGCTTTCAGTGCTTCCTAGACTGGGACTGTCAAACCTCTCCATCTTCTCGTGCTTCAAAAGTAGCAAAATGGTTCTGGTTTTCAGCTGTGACCATAAGAATTAAAATAGGTACAAGCTCACCAAATGAAAGCACCAAAAATTATTTAGGTATTGGTTTCTGATCARTCTCTCCCCTCTGCACCTGGGATATGCTGGGAATGGGTTAAACAGTATTTAGTTTGGGATGAAGACTTGAAATGTGTTATATTAAACTGTGAACRTGTTGTTAGTCTTAACTAACAATCCAAAAGAAAAACAAGCCAAAGGAAAGCAAACCTGTTGCTAAAACTCTTTGTTTTTAATTGTTTGCTCTTGATGAAGCAGATTGTGGAGTGGTCTGGAATTCACTTACCTCTCCAGTTCCCTCATCACCCCATGATAAGTTACATCAGCTGGGGCTGGTTTAATCTCCACCAGCTGCTGTTTTCCCCTCGTAGACTTGCAGAGCAGATGGAGTTTGCTGACCTGTGCTGCACTGTGGCCATCCTTGTACCCCAGGAGGTGTCAGCCTGTTCCCCCTCTGCTCCTYCTCCCTCCCTGCCCTACACACATGCCAGGTGTGCACACCTTGCTCACAGAACTTGTGCAGAGGTGCTGCTGCAGAGTTTTGTGACTCATTTATAAAGCTGAAGTGTGAGGGAATGTTACCTTTAACTGAGCACTGTGCTTATATTCTGCTCCTGCACAGGGGAACAGCTAAGAGGTGTGTACAACTTGGATTGAAATTAYTGTGAAATTGAAATTAGTTATAAGTTTATAATGGTTAAGATGGTTTTGGACTGTTTATTTTTGTTTTCTTAAACAGGTAGCAGCCCCTTGGACAGTCCCAGGAACTTCTCTCCAAATGCACCTGCTCATTTTTCCTTTGTTCCTGCCCGAAGGTAAGGCAGGGCCTATTCTCTTTGGACTGGCAAGCAAATAATCTATACACTTTTATTTAGAAATGGCCTATGGGTTAGAACATTTTTGGTTGTGTTTTACTTTCTCTGATGTTTGCAATTTTATTTTATTTTAATTCCTTATGGATTACATCTGGGCAGCATCACAATGTATTAGGTACTTCTCAGAAAAAGATAAAAGTAAATTAAGCAGTTATTGCTGCCTAGGGAGGAAGCAACATTCTCCCAGACGGATGACAGGTAGGGCATAATTTAGTCACAGGGACATTAAAGTCATTCGTGACATTAAAGTCATAGTGACATTAAAGTCATTTGTGTTTAGGATAATTGTAACTTAGTTGTAGTCCTAGGTGCTGCTCTCACTGATATGTATTGAAAATATACTGATCTGTGCTTTAACTGACAAAGATACAAACACACCTTAAATTAGGTGTGCACAGCTCTGTGCCTTCATTCCCTGCCTTCTGACTGGCAGTGCCTCTCGAGTTTTCTCTGCTGTGTTGGGCATTGGTGTCAAGAGAACATTACTGCTCTAATGACAAAAATAGCTGGATAATTGAAATTGCAAATCCACAAGAACCTGGAGAAGAGCAGCACTGAGAGACCTGAATGTGGAGCTGTCATCTGTTCTGCAGCAAGTGCTGGACAGGTGCTGGTCATGCGGTGTATCCAACTACTGGAGAGAAATCTGAAACTACAGTGGTGGATTTGGTGTAAGGAAYAGGAGAGAAAGAATAGAGACAGCTGGGAAAAGCAGAGAAGTGGTGATTTGAATRTTGAATCCCAGCAGGTAGGCAGAAATGAATGATACAGAAAGTTACATTTTGTGAGAAAGAAGAAACAGGGAAATTAGAGTGATCCCAAGCAGGGTTTGTGCACTGGAGGTGGGTTATTAGATTCAAGTTCAGGGAAGGTATTTTGGAGTTGTTAAACTCTGCCTTGGGTGAAAAAAAAAACAGTCTGTGTTAAAATGATCAGAGAATGGAAAATGTGTGATCATCCTGAGAGGAAGAAAGTTTTCTGAAAAACTGTCAGATTTAGCTTGAGGACTAGTCCGAAACCTAAAACTTCAAAGAATAAAGGGTTAGGATTTGATGGAATAAGGTGCACCCTTTATCGGAACAGCAGGAAAATCCTGGAGCATTTCTCCATTGAGGTGATTTGCTAGAAGTCCTGGTGTCCTTAAATTGTGTTTGAAGTAGACTTTGGTCTTCTGGTCTTATGTAAGAAAAAGCYTTTTAATAGCACATGAAATGTTAGAGACTGGATATGCATTTTTCTCTTGCCTCAGAGGGAAAATAGTGCTTTACTTGCTGATAAAACAATTCAAATGGACTCACAGCATCCACCTTTGTTTTTAAAGCCYGATGTGGCTGTATTCAGTAAGATCTGTTGAMATGAAATGAACTTTTATCAGTTTTCACAGTATCTGGGGTATCTCACAGGAGTTCTGGACCCTGGAACACAGTAGAAAAGTTGCAGCAGAAACCATTGTCAAAACATAATTTTTAAACATCGTGTTTCAACCTGATGCTTCGGTATCACTGCTTTCTAAAAGTTCAGGCAGCAAATAAATRTTTTATTAATAAGACTCTGAAGAGTGCCCTTTCATACTTTTCCACTTTTTAAGCCTATTTTTTTAAGAAATAGGTGAATAAAGGTTAAGCTTGCCCTGTYGAGTACAATGGTTCATTTTAGAGTATGCATGTTCCTCTCTATACTTTCTCTGCCAGGGAAAAGAACACTTAAGCACTGCTTGTTTTAGAAACCTGTTTCTATTTTCTGCTTRCATTACACCCTGAATAGCTATGCCAGCAGTAACAACAGATACATGCTAGATTACCCCATGCTGGTATCAGAATAACTTCTATATGATGGAATTAAGGAATTGCAAGTGTGGTGCCAGAGAAATGGGTATTTCACAGTACCCTTTTYGTGGACGTTGTGTGGGGCTTAAGAGATGGCCCTTACTTCATTTCCTGCTGTYGCCATCACAGGAATTACTTGTTGCTGATTTTCTGCCTTTTATTACTGGTGTAATTTCTTAATTTATTATCATGTTTGGACACAGTTGGTGATTTCCATTCTTTCATTATAGCTCTGTGATGAGTTCTTTCTTGAGATGGAATAGGAAACTTGTTTGGAAAGCTTGTTATTGTAAAGTCACTACAATTTACTGCAAGATTGTCCTTAGTCTGACTTGTGATTAACCATAAATCCCTTATTGGATGYCCTTGCAATGATTGTGTCATAGCTRCAACACTGGCAGGAATTCTCCTGCTGGAATAAGGAAATGTGTGGTTAATTCTGCTTATTTCACTAAAACTGATTTTGGAGGAGTACCACTAACATAAGATGAAGTTTTTTTTTCATAAACCACATGCATCTTTTACTGCTCCCTCTCTCATAATAATTGTACGATTTTTTCCACACAGCCATGGACACAGAGCAGACAGGTAATGTGTATCCCATTGCTGCTATTTGTGTGTGTGAACTGTGATTCTGTGCAGCTCAGCACGTGCCCCTAACAAGTCCATGCTGTAACAACCCCATTTAGGCATTCAGCTTCTAGACTTTGTAATAGAAACAGAAAATCTTTACTTTTTGGCTTAAAATGATAAACAGGTAGTGCTCTGGAGAAGMTGTGTTGTTTTTCTAGCTCCTTGTTTGAAATTGCTTCTTCATGAAATAGCATTTAGCTGCCATAAAAACACCTCCTTAATTAACTAATTAAAATGTCATTTTAGAGGCAAAATTTGTTGTTTGCATGTCTTTGTTGTGCTAGCTGAGGGTCTATAATAAATAAAAACCCTAAAGATTTCTTTCCARGTATCTTACCCTGAAGTAATATTGCATGTTGTCTCTCTAAAAATATGTTTATTAACAAATCACTGAAGTGGCTTTGAAATGTTTTACATAAATGTGGGACGATTTCGCTTTTAAAGTCTTTTTCCCTTCCTTTGATTTGGAAGATTTTTGCTCTTGTCCCACTTCTTTCTGCTAGAGTAGAGCTGATAYGTGTGTCCTGACTGCTTAGCACATTGCTTGCCTTGATTGCATCAGCAGAAAATAGCCCGAGCATGAAGGGGTGYGCTGGARTTTTCTAATCGACAAAGATAGTTTMTTTTAACTTGATCAAAATGAAAGTTCTGAAGTTATTTCAATAGGTAATTCAGTAAAAATAGGTATTTCATTTAGGTAATTCAGTAAAAAAGTAATTAAACTTTGCTTTTGCAAGTTATGAGTGATTTGTGCAGCACCTGAGTGTTTTGCTTTGGGACTGAGGGTCCAAAGTGAGGTTGAATCATTGACCTAAATATTTCCCCRGTGCCCCTGTGTGTTACAAGAAGCTGAATGATCATTGAAGTTTGGTGTTCARTCACTTGCCACAGCATGCAACAACTCTGTAATGCTGATAGTTATTGTTTTTCWGGGTTAAGAAAGGATTTCCATGTGTCTTGAAATTATTTTGAAATTTTCTTTTACATTTAATCRTCTTGCCAGAGAAAACACCACCTTTTGCTAAATGGGGTTTAGCTGTAACACATGCATGCAATAAAAATCTGCACCACAAACTTATTATTTTTTTTAATGCATGAAGCATGAGTCTTTTAAAAACTCTGTTGACATAATATTCTTTCAGTGATGTGGAACAGTGGGTTTATTTCCCTCTCATTTTAAGATAGATGGCAAAGAGTGGTGTGTATCAGTGCCTGAAAATAAAAGGAACTAGAGCTGGAAAAACTGTAAACAGGGGTTTTTGTCTTGGTGGGCACYGAACTTTTTTCTGGAGATGAAACTTCATGGGTATGGATTGTGGGATAAGAAAAATTGCTGCGAAGGTAACAGTTGAGGTTTTTATAATCACTTTTTCAGACCTGTACCAAACATCCTATTTTGCAATGCATTTGCATAAATGCACTTKTATCCATGTGTACCAACCACCCCCCACCATACGTTCCAAAGCAAGTTAGAACAATAAACTGTTCTAATTCACCTTCATGTTATGACCAGTAACTGATAAYCTACTGCAAGAAAAAAACCCAAGCAAATGGAAACTGTTGTGAGAAAGAGACTTTTTAACATGTTTTTAATATGCAACAGAACATGGTTGTCCATGAAGGACACAAAAGGCATAAAATTAGATCAGAGACAGAAGAAGTGCTGTGAGACTGAGCTGAATGTAGTTCAGTTTCCATCCTCACTGAGGTCCAGTTTGGAGGAAGAAAAGGGTTTCAAGGAGGGCGACACTGATTCTTCTCAAAGCTTTTGYGCAGTTCCTCAATTCCTCAATTTTGACACTGGCAAAATAAGACATTTCTGCAGTATCTCCACAATGTTTTGGATGTTTTCCCTGAGGGACATTGGGATGTTTATTTGGCTGCAATAGGGAAATAGCTACTAATGTTATATTGACTGGAGGAGAGAGGACCCTGGGTGAGATTTCAGTGATTTATGCCTGTATTTTGGGTGGGCCCCTTGGCTCTGTTCCTATCTGCTGTTGTGGGTTTTATCTCCCAGCCATGCCAGGCGATGTGCTGGGCAGAATGCCCTCTGACTAGGTAAACAAATTAATCTGCTTTCATCTGATTCTTGATCTAATGTGATTTTTTTTGTCCTCGATCTGAATCTTCATTTGGAAGACAAGGAGCTGCATAAATAATTATGTTAGGCATGAGTGTCTTTTTCAAAGAAGTTTCCAAGGAGCTGTTTTWATTTGTCTGCTTTAGAAACTCCAATTTTTGTCCAAGTACAAAGCATCTACTTTCTGCAGGATTCTGGTGCCCCTTTTCTTTATCTTTTCCAAAGTCACCTAGTTTTGCTTTTAAAACTTGCTCCAACTGTTTTCCCACAAATGTGATTGTMAATAGGATACCTGATTTATCTGAATAACTCAAGACATTAATAAAAGCGTGAGGTTAGGAGATGCAGAGGAAAAAAWTGCTTATTTCTCTGAAGAATTGGCCTCAGTATGTTCCTGACTGTAATTTCCCTTACAACTTTTCCCCAGGACGGATGGACGCCGCTGGTCCTTGGCCTCCCTYCCTTCATCTGGATATGGAACAAACACTCCCAGTTCAACAGTTTCAGTAAGTGACACARACTTTTCCGAGCAATTCAGTTTGTACAAATACACCCTAACAAATCAGCTTCTGAGTCTCTACTAAAATACTGGATCTTTCTTCATTGTTTTGCTAACATTATTTAATATACTAATTATTTCAAAAATTATTTTAATTATTGGTTCTGCTGCTTYTTTCCTCCATTTCCCAGCTCCTATCATCTTGCACTTTGCCTTCAGCATTGGTGAAATCCCAGTGCAGCACTTGGCTTGAGTGATCATTTGAGAGGCCCAGAGTCTCCAAAGTGGCAGGACTCAGAGATAGTGCATAAATACCTTTCAGTTCTCAGCTCCTTGTAACTGGGAAATGAAACTCTTGTCTGCTTTCAAGAACTTAGTCTGAAACCCTTTGCTATCAGGCTAGCAGAAATAAAAACTGATAAGTCACCTCTGTTATTCACCTCCAATAAATTGACTCTCCTAATGAAGCTTTTCAGTTCTTACACCCCATCTTAGGAAGGCTGGCTGTAGTTTGTTTGATTTCTGTCAGTAATACCACTGAGCTGCCTGCACCACCTTAACCCTTGTAACTCTGACATGCACCCTAAAATGAATCTTACTCTGCAGTTTAAATCAGCCAGGTGTTGTGGTTATCCCCACAAGAGCCTTGAAAAGACGAGCATAGAAATATAAGAACTAAAAAGGCTGCTTGTACAGACTCAGTGTCACTTGTATGGGTGTTGTGGTGTCTTCAGCTGTGTAGCAATATCTCCCTGCCTCTTTCCCTAACACTGATCATTTGGGTTTGTGTGAATTATTTAGAGTACRTTCCTAATAATTGTAACACCTTCATTAATTAGGACTCTCTACTCTACGTTATGCAAATCTTACACTGTATCATTGTTCTCCTTGTGAACTGTTCAATGTTCATCTATAAACCTTCTAGTGCCTCTCAAACACAGCTTTATCAGTTTCTTCGGAGGTCAGTGTTAAACTCACTCTATATAGAAAGAGAAGAAATTAGGTCAGAAATTTCCTTTTAGTATAAATTGATGTGATTAAAATTTGATTTTGAAATGTTAGTCTTATGCCTGTAACTTCATTTTCTCAGACACATTCTTGCCAACTGTAGTTCACACAATTTCTACCATCTGTTACGTTTTGAACTTCAAGACAGTTGTTTTCTTGTTGAATTTGKGAGGTTTTTTTTGGTGTCCCAAGAACGCAGGTGACTTGATTTCAGTGTGGGTGCAGATACGTGGGCAGGAGCACAGAAAAATGTGGAATGATAATGTTTTCATTATCAACATGAAAAAGATGTTCCTGGTTTCACTGCTACACATAGTTATATATTCAAGGATCTAAGAGCAGCTGTTAAAAGGGGCTCTGCTTTGGCTTTTATAGTCCAAAGTTAAATCTTTATGAGCATAATCCATGTCTAAGTTCTCTTCTGGGAATGTGGAGCAAGTTCAGTTACTTTCCATATGGCATCCAAATAGTTTGATCATTGGTAGTCACAGCTTCCAAGATGCCACCTTTGGAGGCCAAACTTCAGTTTTTCAAGAGTTTATAGTCTGACCAGACTTCAGGTGGATGTCCATGGTGAGAGCAAAAGTAACAACCCCAAAAATGTGTTGGAAGAATCAGTTCTTGGTTTGAAATCAGGACATCAAGACTGCTTTTAGAAAGTTCTCAGCTTTCTGGCATAGGAAATAAAGCATATTTGTCTTTTGTCATGTTTCCAGAAATGGCTAGATCATTTTGATTGATGTTTTCTCATGAAAAAAAACCCAAACAATCCTACAAATCTGAGATASACATGTCACATAGAAAGCATCAGTTCAAATGGTAATTTTTCAAAGTGTAAATAACAGGGAGGTGTAATGAGAAGCATAAAGTGAGTCATAGACCTGAATTCACCTTCCTGCAGGAAATAGGTTGAAWCATGTAATTCCAAGACCTTTATTTTTTTTTTTCTAAATGATTTAAGTTTCTCATCTCTAGTCCTTTTGCTGCTTCAGTGTTACAATCTAGAAAGGCATTGAAATGGGCTGTTTAGTAAGTAGTGATGCAATTGTTGGAGCTATTAAACCTGGTATTACATTTCTAAGCCAATCCTATTATCGCAGCATTTCCCAGATTAGAATTAATTTGAATTGATCCGCATAACACCTCTAAGGTTGATAAGCAGTGTTATTCCTGCCTAGACTTTGAAGTGAGAGGTAGTGGAAGGGYTTGGCAAAAGGACACAATGAATCAGTGCTGCAGAATTTAACTGAATTTTGGGATTCCATTTCAAATGATCAGTGCTCAAGAATGTGTTTCTTTCTGGAGCACAATAGAAGGGAGGTAGTAGACCTTTGTTCTGGTGTGTCAGTGGGAAATGAACTGTCCAGGAGGGCACTGTCCCTTCTGTGTCACCCTGGTTGAGTTTTGATACGAAAACAAGAGCTGACCCTCATCTCTGTGGTCATASATCACCTGCTCTACCAATCTACTGAACAAACCACAGCATTTACCCAGCCTGAGGTCAGTGAGAAACTGTAGATTCTGCTTTATTTTTTGCTTCCAAATGAGGTATGACTCTTCAATAAAAATCAAACCGCATTTACCCTTTCTGTACAAAATGAGGAAGACCGGACATATCAGCAGACCAATACTGAAAAAGCTGGAGAAGACCTTCTCTCAAATTAGGTGAACATAAAATAATCATTTAGATGGGCCAATAAACAATCATTTTTCAGCAGTTAATCTGCTATTCAGTTTCTAGATGCAGAGTTAGTTTACAAGCTGCTGTAGTATAACTCTTTTTTTTTTACTGGAGAAGAGTTGGCTAATTCTGCATGTGTAATTAAGACACCAGGGGCACATTTGTATTAGTCTGCTGCAAATATTGAGTAGTGTGATGTGATTACCTGAAAATCAATATGTCAGAAGTGTTTCACTTTGCTTTCATGCTTTTTCATTGAAAGGTTGKACTCTTTAATACTGCTAGAGAAGCCCTTGGCAGAGAAAAGTCCATGGTCTTTATCTTCAGGGTGTTCATTAATTATACTCTGGAATTCTAAACTTTGTGATCTGATTGCTTTTAGGGAGAGAAAGTTGAGGATTTTGTTGGGCCAGCCATGTGTTGACTAGCACTGCTTCCCCAGCGATTTTGCTGTTGGRAAACATAAAGTTTTTAATGATTTTTCTAGATTATAAGTTTTGATTTTTCTTTTTTCTAATTCAAGTAACTATGTGCTAACTTCCTTAATTTGATTTGAATCAGACATGTGTTTGCAGTGCCAGAACTTGGGTATCTGCTAATGCAGATTTGTAAGATGATGTCTTCAGTACTTCCTGCTCTGCTGCAGGATCTGTGTTATTCACCATGAACAGGATTTCAGCTGCCGTGGAACTTTTTCTTTGAGGTTTTTTCAAAGGCAGGTTCTTCTTCCTGCTCTTTGTATTGTGGAAGACGCAAAGAAAGACATCAAAGAAATCTCTGAAAATCAAAATAGGATTTGCATAATTCTGTACTTAAGGGAGACAAAATAATAATAATATGTTTATAATTGTTGGCATAAGCACTTTGAACAGCAGAACAGCTGTGGGCAAAGGGGCAAACACCCACACTTGTCTTGGCTTCAGTGTGAATTAGACAGTCTGGGTGACCATCACTGTGTGGACACTGAGCTGGAGGTGACTTCCCAACAAAATCCCTCCACACAGACCTGCCTGAATGGAAATKTTGGAAGTGGTGGCTTCCAGTTCCAGGCAGGCTTGGGAAGTTTGTGGACATCCCAAGGCTTTCAAGGGGGTTCTTTACTGTRAATGCCTCTGTGCAGTGCAGTGGGAGCAGATCTGGGATCTGGAGCCAATTAAATTTTTATCCAAGAATAGGGTCTTTAGGTTTCTAAGCTCTTATGTCACCCCATTTTCTGTTGCTTATAATACTTACAGTAATTACACCATTTGAAACAGATGCATTTAATGTGACTTGTTAATCTCAGATTTGTTGGTTGATTGGGTTTTTTCCCTCAGAAAATGTCAATCCAAATGATCTAGCTATATGGCAAGAGACAGATATGCTTTCCCATGCTAGGTAGGTGAGTTAAAACTTTGGTCATATATGTTGTRTCATGTATAATTCCCTCCTACCAATACTTCTGATATTGGGATGTGGTGCTTCCAGTCTGAGTGAGGGTTATTGTAGMAAAAGGAAAAGTTTTTCTGCTGGAACAGTGCACATAATTAATTTCATCAGATAATAAGGAGCTGTGGAACTTAGGTCAGGGTGATGTTTTTAATAAGGCCCACTGGTGTTATTCAGTGCTAGTCTGATTATTCAGCACCTTTCTTTTTTTCTTTTTCCCTTTTGTTTTTAAAGAGAATTTTTAATTTATCCTTACATAATATATTTTCTTACTTCTGTAAAATGGAAAGGGGCACTGAASAATCACACAAAGAAATACATTTGTTGGTTGACCTTCAGCTTTTTCCCCTGGAATGTCTAACTTTGATGTTATTAGCATTTCTCACAAATATTTGTTTTAATCTCAGGTTTTATGAGTTTCACAAATTAAAACAGTTTCATGTTTGTTATTATCACAGGTTATATGTCATATAAATGCATCAACTTATTTGCAGAAGAATAAGCTAACTCAATAATAAGAAACTCTGTTAATATTAAAAGGAAGTCAGATGCTTTATTATTGCGTCCCTGGTTAGAGAAGAATCCTGATGGGTAATGAAAAGGAGAACTAAAATCCTGACTATTTACAATGGCAATTTTTAATGAGAGCCAATAACCAGCAGAAAACTCTTAGGTCTACACAGGTCCATAGCATTCTGCATGCCAGTGAAACTCCYGAGCTGAGAGAGCATGAGGGAAAAGGAAAGAAAGTTGCTCACCACTCCAGGAACCTCCTTGTCCTTTCCAGAGTAGTGCTGGTACTCACGTGCCTTCCTTTCTGTCTCCTGATGGTGAATTATCTGCATGATCAGCTGTGCTGGTTCCAGAATCAGATGCAGTGGTTCCTTAGCCCTCTCCCAAAGTTTTCCTGATCTCACCAGCTCTGTTGTTGAATGTGAGGGTTGGCTTAGCCTGATGGGAACAATAAAAAGAGGCACCTGGTCTGATAAATAGCTTTCTTTTCYGCTGGAGTGCTCAGTGTTTGGCAGAATCCTCTTCCATTCATTAGCTGACCCCTATGCATGCGTTTAGTGCATTTCTTTTCTGTATTTTTTTCTGTACTCAGTCATCATGCTCATCTCAGGAGAAGCTGCACCAGCTGCCCTTTCAGCCCACGGCAGATGAACTTCATTTCCTGACAAAGCATTTCAGTACCGAGAGCATCACTGATGAGGAAGGGCGCCACTCTCCAGCCTTGAGGCCTCGATCTCGCAGTCTCAGGTGAGCTTTGGGTCGTTTGKTGAATTTTTAAGATGTTGGACATGTGTACTGCATTTCTATCTATGCTTTCAGRTCTGAGAATAATCATTTGTGGTTGCTGTGTTGCATGGTTTTGAAACTGTTTTAATCAACGTTTAAAGGGATTTTTTTTTTCTCACTTTTGTTACTGTGGTTTTGGATTGCAAAGTGGTTGGTATGCTCTGCTTTTGTATTTTCACAATAACTCCAGGAAAAMGTGATCCACAAGTGTCTCAAGCTAAATGCATAGGATGTAGATTTCCTTTAGCGAAATTTCTTCTCAGAATTCTGCTACAATAACATAAGGATGTGGTCATAGCCACTTCTAATGGCTTCTCCGGCCGTGTTTGTGAAGGGGTGTGAAAACCAGAGTAGATAAAGTCAAAACCTTAAATGGAATTGCACCCCAGAGCARTTTTGTAATAGCACTGAAAACATTTCTCCTGCATTAGTAGTTGAATATTTTTACTGTTGCTGTAGGGAACTTGTTGTTCGAAGATAACTATCCAGGGTTATTTCCTTTTGTAGTTGTTTTTTCCATGTACAAAACCAGAAGCAACTAGAAGTCCATCTTTCACAGAATTACAGAATGGCTGAGGTTGGAAAGGATCTCTGGAGGTCATCCTGTCCAAAGCCCTTTTCAAGCAGACTGCCCAGGGTCATGTCCATATGGCTYCTGAATATCTCCAAGGACAGAGATTCCACAAACTCTCTGGGCAAACTTTCTTGCAGATCTTTAGCAATTATATGGAATAAATGCACAAGCATTTTGTATTATGGCAAAARCTTTAAGTTTTGCTATGCCTTTAGTGCTGGACCAAGGGAATGACAGACTGGGTAAAGTGTAGACACACCTTGTGAAAAAAAAAAAAAGGGTTGAAGGAGGTGAAGTTTTCTTTCACCTACGGGTGTCAGAGGATAGCACCTTTAAATTAATGGACAATATTCAACAACTCTGCCAGCTGGAAATGGTGAATTGGTGTGCCCAGCTCAGGGCCTGGGTTGGGATTTGTAAAAAAGTAAATCAACCAGGCCAGGATAATAACAAAATCCATGGTGAATATCACATCATGGCAGAGCTGACCTTCCCTGATTATTTGTAATTATTTGTAYGTTCTGAATTGGGCTGCATGGTAATTGCATGTGGACCTGCTCAGTGTAGTTCCACAGTGATTTACAGGAGCAGGTGAGTACTGTGGGGACACACAGCACACTCAGCCAGCGCCCTCCTCGCTGCCATGGAGCCAAAAACTGATTAATTACACATTTGTACTGAATCCCTTGGAACAATAGCCCTCCTTCAGCCCTGGTGCTGCCCCTCTTAACTCCAGCTCCTGCTGAGTAGTGTAACCATAGTGGTACTGATTCTCTGGAGGTGAGACAGCTGCTGTAGTTAGGTATCACACACTGCAGTCATTATTGTCCTTTAACACAGGTGTTGTCCTGCCATAGAAGACACTTCTGCTAACACCAGAATGATACACACAAACGTGTGAAGAGCCCAGTTTTATTTTCTTACTTGTAAATATGGGTTAGCAGTTTGCAGAGAATTTTGCCTCTGTGAGCCRATTTGAAGCASACTTACMGTGGAGCAGGTTTATAATTTGTGGAGGCACGAGATTAATTCAGTGTGTTGTATAACTGATTAATCTTTTTCCTTTCTTGAATACTTTTGCTAGCCCTCCCTGATTTTTAGTGTGGTAATGGCCAGCCTTATTGGTATTCCAAAGCTTAGAATGAATTTAAYTTTTTCAACTCACTGTGCCTCATTTGGTTTTCATTTTGCTTATTGCCAGCACTGTGATGCTGTGTGACTCTAAAGCACCCTCGCCACCACCAAGCATTCATGATGGCCCTTGCACCTCCAAGGAAAACTGATCAATCCAACCAAGTGGAGCAATGTTTGCAGGAGCAAATACCTTCTTGGACATAGGGCAGCCTGTGCTTGTAAACAAACAAGTACTGAAATAYTGAAATATGTGCAGACCAGGCCTTGTTCACTGCACAAAGCTTGCTTATTTATTTGCCCATACCTTAGAGTTGTTAGCTCACTTGGTGAGAATATATTTTCACTTACTTAAAAAAAAAAGCTGAGAACAGCTTTTCGTTTTCAATGTCAAATTTAATTAAGCAGTAATTTCCTGAAATGTATTTTTTCATAAACATTCATTGGTCTTGTTTGATCAGCTTTAATGAAAYGCAGACGAACAAAACACATCAGATGTTTCCCTTAATTGGTAGCCATGGCTTTGTAATTTAAAAGATGGTCTGATTGTTAACGTGTATTTATTTTTCATCCTATATCAGAGCAGTCTTACATCTCTTTTTGAGAGAGGAACTGGCATTTTGAGATCTCACTGTCAAAWGCTGGGACTGTTTTTTTGTCTCTGTAACCCAAGTGTTATTCTTTTTTAGAAGTGTCAGATGATCTTTTTATGCTCCTAGGTATAGAATATTGTCTAGGTGTAACTTTTGGAAAAATATACTTCCTTCTTTGGCTAGAAATGTAGAAAATGTAAAATTTTTTTGTACCCAGCTGCAAATGTTCTGTTCATACAGAGCACTCTTAATGATCAAACTGGTTGATAAAACTTAACAGATTGTGCAGTCATGGAGGGTGGCACTGACAGGTTGGTAGTGTGCCTTGAAGATACTCATCTTGTATTTAATCATGGTTTATTTGAAATGCCCTGAATTTCTGCCCTGAAGAACTCGCACTGACTCTTTCCCAGCTGCTTTCCTAATCAGGAAGGGGGGAATGTGAGACCAGTGCAGGAGTGCAAAGGTGTGATGTCCTTTTAAAGCTGCTTGCAAAATCCAGGAGCCTGTTCTGTCCTGTGTCTCAAAAAGAGCCAATTCTCACCTGCTCMCTCAAAGAACATATTTCCACGTGACCCACCTCTTTTGGTGCTTGTACTGTCTTCAGTAGAAGAAAATATTTCTTTATTACCTGTAGAAGTAGTTCCTAAATATCACCTCTCAACTGTTCTCTTTTGTTTTTGGTAATGCAACCTTTCAAATCTTTCAAGCTGTTGACCAACAGAGAGATCCCCAGGCTACATTTGCTTTGTTTAGAGCAATCCTGGGCTTTACCTGAACAAGATCTGTTCTYCCTGGAGTGAAATGCATGAAAAGTTGTGAATTCTTGCACTAAACTTGGCATCGTTACTCTTTTTAAGTTAGAGAGATGCTGCCTTCCATCTTTTCCCAGTTCTCTTGTCATCTTTAGCAGTTGCTCACACGTGGGAATGTGTGGAGAATGTCAGAGATAAAAGTAGAGTTAACTAATAAAGACTTCCTCAGGAGCTACCTTTGTGCAGTCACTCAGCCCACCAATCTGCCCATTTTTCTTGATCTCTTTTTTGTGTTTSAGGGTAATGTTGTCTAGGGAAAAAGGGCTGGAGATTGTTGCAGTGAATCTTTGTCTAGTTGAAGTAGATGAGATCATCCTTAATCAAATATGCTTCTTCATCTCTTGGCTGAGTTGTGCTTTTTAAATGCAATCTCCCAACCTGATTTTCAGCATGCTGGATCCTGCCAATAAGAATATACAGACAAAACTCTTAAAAAATGGCAAAATCTGCCGGAAAAGACTTCTGATGATAAACTGCCCAAGAAGGAATAGGTGCTGTGAAACCACAGTAGCCTTCATAGTCCATTTTTATCTTTCACCCTGCAGGTTTTGGGGCTCTCTCATCTCAGTGCACTTTAGAGGCAGCTTTAACCACTTGAGTAACCGTGGTGGGTTTGTCACTTCATGCTGCTGCTCTCAAACAGCCACAAGCTGTGAAGCAGGGATTCACACAGCCATAGATTTGGGGAGGGATAATAATTTGATATTYTGCAGCATAAGGCATCTGTTCCTTCTGAAAACACATTCTAAGTGCATTACAGATRATGTTGGTCTCCTTGTTTTCTCTCTCAAGACAGTGAGTCCTGTGGACTTGATTTGAGAAGGTTCTTCAAATTGATTGGTTTTAAATTTATTGACTTTTGGGTTCACTCACTGTTTTCGTGGTTTTCTGTTATGAAGAAACCAGAGTATTCTTATTTGTCCTTTGGTCCTGCTCATTMCTCCGACTTCCTGCTTTCATTCTAAAGCAGTCTCAGTCTTTGCTGGCCTGAGTAAAACCCCTGAAATATTGGAAAGAGCACATTGCAGCCCCTGCTGCTGGGGGAGTTTTCTGACTTCTAGTGTTAATGTGATTTTCGTTAGCTCTCAGATTTAAGTATTTTATTTCTTGGGAGAAGAGGAAGGCTTATCTTTAGCAGAAGGCTTATCTTAATGTCTACTTCATCCAACTTCAGCTCTCTAGTTTTCACATTCCTTATTTTGTGTGTGTGGAAATGACAGAAAATTAAGGCCTGTTAGTTTTAAGTTTCCTGTGAGAGCTGATTTTGGTCATGTCTTGTAAATACAACCTAATTAAACCTTTATGTGCTGGGTGAAAACAGAGGGAAGCACAGTGCTTTTAGCTTCTCTGCTTTTTTTCTAGTAATACAGCTGTCACACTGAAGGAAAAATTACGTATTCATAAACATCTTGGTTTTATTTAGTCACACTTAAACTAGATTTTGTAAGATTTAAGTTATTGCTATAAATGTTGCTCCTTGAAATGRCTGTCTATAAGCTGTTTTCACTTTAGAGCATCAGCTAAGGACRCATGAGTTTTGACAAGTTGAAGGCAACAGAAATCTTTGTGGGAGATGGATATCCCTGAAAATCTACCACCACATTGTCTCATAAAGCGGAGGGAGCATGAAGAAGGGGAAAAGAGCAGTTTTTCATTCTGTTATTAAGCTTAAGGGGACAGATATTATTCTTCCAATGTCTGCTCTGCTGAAATGAAAAACTTACTGACAATAATCATTCCTTTGACCTACCTATCTGCACCAAGAAAAGGGAAGGAGCCTGCCTTTTGTCTTAAAATGTTATGCACGTGCACAGCATGTGTCCTCTGTTTTGCAGAAAATGATCTGTTTCTTTGTGACGCCTGAAGTGTTAGACCAGTTTAGCGCAGTCTGTGAAATTTTTGGTGCTGGGTAGCTGCGTGAAGCTTTTGCATTTGAAAAGATGTCATGCCAGTAAAATGTATTAAACTCCTTTTGTCTTTTTTCTAAATTCTGTTAYGTTCTCCCTTGGTGGCATTCAGTTATCTGCCCAATCCTTGTTTCTTTTTCACCTGGTTGTGTCCCRGAGGTGCTGTAAAGTGCCCAGCAGTGCTTGGCAGACAGCCTTTGGTTAGGTAGCCAGTTATCCAACTAATTAGTTCCTTGGTTTTCCAAGCTAAGGATCAACACTAAAAATTATGGTGCAGTATATTATGTGGCAGTGTTTTATAGTCAGCTAGACATTTAATTTGACCTCGGATATTGAGCAAATTTAATTTTGGATGACAGTGTGAGCCTTGATCTGAGGTTTTATCCAGAGTTTTTTGGGTGCTCTGTTGTTTTAGTTGGTAAAAAGGGGCATTGATGAGCTTTCAGAGGTGAGAGACAAAACTGCAAATGCCTAAGGAGGGATTTTAAACGTTTGCTTTCTTGCCAATTGGTGTGAACAGAGATTGTTTTGCAAAAAAACAAAAGCAAACCCAATAAATTCTCCTTACATCATGGTTCTCCCTAAGGAAATGCTACATCTGCTGCCAGGACAGCTCAAGTRGCTTGATTTCTGCATAGCTCTTAATTTCCTGTGTCCATATGAATAAAGTGCCTTGAAAGCAAAAGGCAAAATCCCTCATGTTTTATTATAGCCCTAAGACAGCAAATACTTAAATATGTGCAGATTTTAGTGTTGAAATGAAATGGAAGTATGGATGTGCCTCAGAATTTCTGGGTAAGTATCAAAAGGCTTATGTATGCTTGTAATTTACACCTCACTTAGATCACACAGAGAAAAATTACGTTAGAGAAAAATAAATTCTTCAATAACTGTGTTCACCAAGTCCTTCAGCTCCATGTGAAGTACCAGTAAACAAATGTTGTGTTTATGTCGGCGTGTTTGGTCTTAAAGAAAAAAGRATAAGGGTAGGAGGCTAGATGTGCACGGGAATTTGCTCATAAGTCTGCAATTTAAATGTTCTTAGCCTTCTGTTTAATCATGTCATACATATGAATATAAATGTAAGTTTCTTTTTAAAGATAATTCTCCTTGATTAAAAATAGCTATCTACCAAGCTAAGGGAAGTTGATGAAAATGTCTTTTTACTTGCTATTCATAACATCCAAATCAGTTTTCTTCTCCTTCAGCATRAGGATTCAGTGACAGATTTAATCTGAAGTGCATTTTCCTCAAGATAAAGGATAAACAGTAATAAAAACAAGACATGATGTAATTCATAGAATTTCAGTAAAAGGCATGAAAAGAGATTGGTACTGCTCTAGTCTGTGAGCCAATGAGTTAAATTTTCTTTGAATTGTTAATATATGTTGCCAAAAGAATGTTTTTCCTCTAAATAGGTTAGCAACAAGGTAGTAACTGTAATGCATTCCAAGTTTAAAATGCATTTATTCCATTTAGAGAGATTCATTTCATCCTTCACTAGAAAGTTTGAACTCATTTGAGATAAAATTGTGTTTTTTTCTGACATAGAGTATTTTTAGCAGTATTTAGTACTCTTAAAATCATCAAGACATCTAAGATGCCAAATTATTGAAGCTCTTGCTTGTCTTGAACGTTGAAAGAAGGGAACTGGAGAAATGAGATGCTGCAGGCGATCTGTAGCTGGGGATTATCTGCATTACCTCATCCTCTGTCCTCAGTGGCAGTGTGAGTCAGAGCCCTGCACACCATCAGATGTGATGAAATGAGATGCAACCCTGCTTTTAAAAAACCACCCAAACAGTGATATAAATGCAGCTTGTCAAGATTTAGTGCCCTGGATTTTTGGTGTGCCTGGAAGTTTCTTGCTAACCCATACACAGATGAGTRTGGATCCGTGGTGTATTAATCCAGCTTTCATAAAAGTACTCTCCCTGCTGCCTGTGGTGTTTTTATATAAGATTTAGCTGAATGACAGTGATCACACATTCCTCCTCTTGTACAGTATCCTTCAAACAAAGTAAAACAAATAATCTCAAGTCCCTCATTTCCTATTGCCCTGCTSCCTTCTGGCACTGGAGACTCCAGAGCTCACCGTGRTTTSTTTTGGAGCAGRGCTGCTCCTGCTGCCATGGAGGACAGTGGCAGAAAGAGGGGAATAACAAATGTGTCTGCAATAAATGCATTAGGGTTTTCAAGCTCCTGTGTTAGGATTTTCATTCACTGGAGATAGGGGGAGTTCTGCCAGAGACAGGGATATCAGCAGGTGAATCCAGGCTGCCATTGTTGCCTGGATCTTCCCTGAAGTTCAGCATCTGCACATTACTGAAATGACCTCAAAGCTTTGGAAGGGCTGCAGTCAATGTGGCASCATTATGACCAGTGCTGGGTTTTGAAAGGTTTTGGTGTGCTGTCTGCAAATGATAACAKAATTTCTTTTCTCCTCCAGCCCGGGTCGCTCTCCAGTTTCCTTTGACAGTGAAATAATAATGATGAATCATGTGTACAAAGAAAGGTTTCCAAAGGTAAAGAATCGCTTTTTGAATAATGCATTCAATGAACTTGTGCCCAAGCTCAGAAATAATTTGTAGTGCTTGTTGGAGAAGGAGCCCAGCTCTGACATCTCATTTCCAAGCAGTGAAGTTTGCTGAGAGTTTGAAGCTGCCTCCTCATCTTCATATGTTAATTCTATAGTAGAAGAAATAGATTCAGTATACACAGAGATCACAGTGGAAAAGGCTGAATTGTTTTTTTTAATATGAATTTCATGTTTGCTAAATTTCTGATATCTTCTATTGGCATAATAAATTCTCACAAGAGTGAGAAGAAGAGCCATGCTGTGGCTTTTTCAAAGGCTGAGTCTTCAAATCTGTGGAAGCAAGTTAAAAGTTAACATCTCATTGAAAGGAGTGGGGAAGATTGTGTATCCCACAGCTGTCGATGTGGCCGTTCCTTCCTGTTCCACCAACAGCAAAAATAGATGTTTCTCTGGAGACAGGATATCAGGGCTTACRGTGATAGAAATGCCGTATTTATTGCTTGGGGCAATGATTTTCAGCTTCCACAGTCTTGTCTAAAAGTTCTGAAAACTGCCTCACATCTCACATCCTTACTCTGGAGACCCAGGGAGGAATACAGCCTCAGGACCAAGATATTTTTATGGTCATTTACATTTTCAGAAAGCGTGTTTTGATTAATTTTTGTTGTTTGCTCATGTGAACCTACCTTTTGCCTACAATATGCTATCTTTATTCTCAGAAAAAACACTACTGTATTTTGGAATATCTTTTAAGCCTCGWGCAGTTTTGAATTGCAGATGTTACTTTAGCACCCTACTTGTTTATGCTTTAAGGTTAGTAAAATTTAGGAGTGATTTCTCTTTATTCTGCACTTTTAGGCCACGGCACAGATGGAAGAACGGCTGGCTGAGTTTATTGCCTCGAATGCTCCAGAGAACGTGCTGCAATTAGCGGATGGGGTCCTAAGTTTCATTCATCATCAAGTTATTGAACTGGCCAGAGATTGCCTAGATAAATCACGTGAAGGTCTTATTACTTCTCGGTACTTTTATGAGCTGCAGGAAAACTTAGAGAAACTTCTCCAGGATGTAAGTGCTCTCTGGAACACAGAATGTGTTATTTGGGTTGGAAGTTTAACCAATAAGCCAGAGCTTTGATTTTAGGGATTCTAGGGGAGGGGTATCAGGAGATCTGAGATGTTCYAGTCTGCTGTAGGTTTGCTATGGCTGGATTTGAGTAAATCACTTCACCAGAACTTTGTACAGAAATTAAATGTGCATATGAGTAACTCAAAGCCAGTCTTGACCATTTATGAAAAYTGGGTTTATTCAGATGAATGAAATTGCTGAAATCTTTTTTGATAAACTTCAGGACTCGGAATGACTTACTAATTACAATAGTGTCTTCAAGGAGTGAAAACAACATAGCTTGTCAATGGGGCTGTAAATTTTTCACAAAAGATTTTTTTGAGCTGATCTTAATCCAGTTGTGGGCTTTTAGCACTTCAGTGTGTTTTGTGACATTCAGAGCATATGAAAATACACAAGGGGGCACAATTTTAATACATGCTCAGTATGCTTCAGCTACTCATTCAAAATTGCTCTTTTCCTTTAAAGTGGAAATAATAGTATATTGCAAAAATCTCCTAGAATTTATATTATAACTGTTGTGAAGGGTCAGTGCTATTGCCATTTGCTGGGTCCAGACCTCTGTTTAGGAATATCTTCCTAATTCTCTGCTTTGATTTAATGAAATATATAGCAAGCTGAAAAAACAAGCTTGGTAAAGATTGCAATTTCAGATAGCAAATATCATGAGATCTGTTCTGGAAACAGAACACTTGAAATAATTTTTATTTTATTTTGATGAGTTTGCCATCCCAGTGGCCTGAATTGCACTAGCTTGTGCTCCTTTGCCACTTTTTCAGACATTAGAAAAAGGCAGATGAATAACAATACTATATTAATATAAAATGTAATAATATTGTATTAAAAAGCTTTGTGAAAGCTGCTGAAACTTCCCTTGTATCAGCTAAACCTTTTGGCCACCCCATTTATATAAGAATGGCTGTAATTTCTCTGGTATTTTTTATGTTTGAGAGAAAAATTAATAATGTTTGGATTTGTGGTGTTCTGCCTGAATGGGGAATATAATTCTGACAGACCAAGAGAGGTAGGGAGTGTCTTTTGAGGGACTGAATGATTGTCTGCTTATGGGATATCAGTAAACACTTGTGKATCCCCCTTGTGTCTCCAAAGAAGCGGATTTTTTTGCACACATCAGCTGTGAAATAAGGGGTCAGGCCTCTTTGGGTGATGGTTTGGAAGTTGGAAAGGTTTCATTAAGAGTGGTTATGTATGCTCAGCAAAATCCCTTACATTTCAGGGGCACAGAGGGACTAGAGTGTGTTTTACTGCTTCTGGTAGCAGATCTTTGGAGCCTGAAATTCTCCCTCTCCCTGACTTTCCTCCTCTGTRTGTGGACAGTGATTTCTTACACCATAAGGAACTAAGAGAGCCATAAATTAGGGCTGGCCACTTCCAGTGTGAATTTTCAGACCTGTCTTCTGGCCTGAAGAGGTTAATCAGGGTCTTGGAGGAGGTATGGGTCAGATAAATCAGCTTTTTCCTTTTCTCCCTTTTCCCTCAGAACAAATCCTCAAAATACATTTCTTAAATGTCCCTTTCCCCTTGATCCTGCAGGCATTATCCTGCTGCTCTGAAATACTGGCAAAGGTGACATTGAACTGCTAGTAGAGGAGATACAGTGGTCATCTCTGAGCTTGCTCAGGAATTGACATTTGGGGCTTTCTTTGCTCTGTTCCTCCTTAACAGCTTCTGCACAGCGGGGGCGAGTGAAGGGACAGCTCTTCAGCTTGGTGGATTTGCTGTAGGAAGGGAGGTGAGGTGATTAAAAGGGAACTTTAGGGAGGCAAGAGATGCAGAACAGGCTGGGAAGGAAGAGAACAAAGACATTCAAGACATCAGAGGAAAGCCCAAGGYTTCATTCCACATATTTCTCACTTTTTTTTTCCCCTGTCCTATGGCTTTTTCTGTTCCTTAGCTTATCTTTTAGATTTTAATATTTAAAAGCCACTTTTTCCTCTGTTTGCCTAGTCTGTGCTTTACCCTTCAGACTGCRTTCTGCAAGGAAATAATTGGGACATTTTAGTCAAAAYTTACAGAAATGGTGATACTATTTCYTTTGGAGGGCTCACCTGAAATGCAAGACATTTTGGAGTTGAATTCAGACTATTCCAAGTTTGATGGCAGGATCTTAACCTTTGCTTAGGTTGTGAAGTGTTCTAAAGTCCATAAATAACACCAGTTGGAAGGTCATTCAAAAGCTGTTTGACTTGGGCAGTTGTAACTGTGCATTAGGCTGTGGAGTTTTATGTTTTATTTTTATAACATATTGAAAGATTGGAAAGATGTTTCACTGGTGAACAATGAGGCCAGCAAGTGGCAGAAATACCCTAAGATTTTCTTACAATTTCACTGTGAAAGAATGGAGTCTCTTGAAATTCTTTATTAAAGTGTTAATTCTGAAACCCGGTAACAAACTGAACTTGCACAGCATTTCAAACCATAAAAAGGAAACTTGATTTAATATATTGTAGTTTGAGTAAAAATATAAAACAGACTATTTGGGTATGCAAATAATGAGCTGTTTAAATGCGCCAAACCAGAAAGCATTTGGAAGATTTTTAGATCCTGGCTTTTATAATAACACGCCAACAAATCTCATTAGCTATGGCAAATGAGATCTTTTCCCTTGTTTGGAGCATGAAATGCTGTCTTTTAGCCACAAAAACTTATGGCGTCATTGAAATTATCAGGAGGTAAAAATGAATTTGAGAGATTTTCTTCATTTTGGAAAACATGGACTTGGATGTTATGCTTCACATCAAAGTAAAAATACTGAAAAATAAGATATAAGACTGATGTAAAAATGAACGTGTGACATTCGGTTCTTTACCTGTTACCATGGGTTAGAACTTGAGTTACTGAGGAACATCAGGTGATAATCATTTATTACTTGGCTGAATTGATAAGATAGAAGTAGCCAGAAGTTGTGTTGATGTAGCCAAGGAAGGTGAAGGATTACAGGTGTTTCTGTGCATGGAACAAAAGAAGCAGGGGAGGGTATGAGCATYACACAGCAGTGACTGATGCTGCACATTGGCAAATGGATATTCTGATCGGGGTCGCTTTCCTAGCAGGAACCTGAGTGTAAATTTATCAGTCCTTGGCTTTGCAGGTCTATTGTTTTGGTTTCCACCCGTATATTAGCTCAATTACAGCGCTTGTGACTTGCATAACGCAGTTATTGGTCCTGCTGAACCCCAGGGGAGGACAGTGATTTTAATTTCATGCCCCAGCAGCCACAGTTAGTGACGGATGGGTCTTTCAGATGAGGGAATCGGTTTGTAAATTACCCACGGCTGCCTCCCTGCACGTGTCACCGGCAATGTGTGCAGGAATGGCATCAGCCTGTGCCCAAACCCCACCCGTGGCAGGGGAGGGACACCTGCAATGCCACCAGGCTCTTGGGGTGCTGGGGATGCGCTGCTTGGCTGGACAATTGGACCTGGACACCCTGGGAAACAGGAGCTGTGGGGATGTCGGGGCTGTCCTGTGCCAGCAGGAAACAACAGGAGGCAGYTCCACTGAGGATCTTGGAAGAGCAGCGCTCTGCAGAGATGATGGCTGAGTGGCTCGTACAAGTTGTGTTTGGTTTTTGTAAATGCTTTTTTGTTTTTCTTCTCTATATCGTTTGGCTTTTCRTTTTCAAAACAGGCGCCTGATTAAATTAGTTACATTTTAAAATTATTTTGCCTGAATTGTCATAAATGAGAAAAGGAGGAAACAAAAGGACTTGATTTAAAAKACTTAAGTTCTCTTTAACAGTATAAATGGATGCAAAATGATGAATTATATCTATTAAAATAATTTTTTTGCATAATGTTACCTATATAGGGGGAAAGAAAAAGCCAATTGCATGGCTTATATTTAAAATAAGACAAAGTTGTTGATGTTTTATTTATTCATTTCAATGCAGCTAACCTCTGGTGACCTGGAATGGTTTTTAAAATTTGAAAGCATTATTTTCTTTCTAAAATTCATATTGTAACTTRTAAGTTTGTATAATGCATTAGAGGWCACAAAGTGAATATTAATCATTTTCATTGAGATTATTTTCTATTTTATTATTTTTTAAGTCTTTTAATTAGGAAAAAAAAAGACATTTATTTCAATATTTCCCAAATAATCTTTTTAAGTCTCTATAGCCAGGAAGGATCTCTGATGTTGTTTTTAAATAATGAACTAACAGGTACATCATTCTCTTCAAGGTTAAAATTCTAGCCCCAGCTAATCAGTASAGAGGGAGACAATCAACATTTTTATTCTGACCTGTGTCAAAAAGAGAAATAATGATCCTTTTAATTTTTTTTTTTTGTTTGGTAGCAAAGTGTCAGAGATAAGTTATTTGAAATGCTGCCTGTGTATTTACAGCTCTGAATTTTTGCTTCCCTGTGTTTTTGTTGCTCTTTTAGGTAGTCAACAGTGTGATTTGACTTCTCAGACATATACATWTTTTTCTTAGATGGTCCTAATGGACAACACTAAATGAACCTTTTCATTTGTTGCTGCTCGCACTGTTGTTGATCAAATATCATTATTTTGCCAGCAAAAGCTCATTTATTAAGTTCTGGACTCTGTATTTGTGGCTATGTTAAAGCACAATTTTTAGACCTTGGGGAAAAATAGCTGTACTTTGTTTAAGAGTTTTTGCATGCCATTGGAACCAATTTTTTATCACTCTGCAATGAAATATGTTTATATTTCTGCTCCAGGACTTATCATGTAGCCATTGTGTGCTTCATCAGGACAAGAGTCATTTGGGAGAGGGTTTTTGTGTTGCTCTTTTATTTTTTAAAAATWATTATTGTTTTGGTGTGTTTATTGTTGTAAAAAGACATCCAATCACACAAATACACACACACATATATCTTGAAACTAAGACTGGAATTTATACTAAATCTGGTGAAGTAATAGACAGGACTAAATCCTCTGAATTAAGTTTTTGCATGCTCTTTTCTTTGCATATCTCCTTGGTCCTACATAACATACAATGCAATGCTTGAGTTGTTCAACTGAATTGATCAAAAAAGTGAAACTTTTTTGGGGTTGAGTTTTTCTTGATGATGAAGAGAAGTAGTTCAAATTCTAGCTGARAGTAAAGCCCAGAAATATGTGTCTRTTAGTCATTACCTAGACGTCAGTGTTGTGTGGAAGGTAAAATTGAAAAAATCAGTATTTCTCTTTTCATTAAAAAAAAATGAACTAAAACCATGTTGTATCTATTAAAATTGATAGGTGATATAATGCAAGTAGMGCCTTTGAAATATCTCTTGCATGATAATGGGAGTCAGTTGTGGTGGAAAAGCCATTTGTAACTTGGCATCACTGAGCGAGCTGAGCTCAGCCTGCCCTGACTCAGTCAAGCTTTTGCTGCTGAATTCRTTCCTGACCTGGTGATTGCCTCCAGCATCTGACACAGGGGGGTGAAGAGTTCAGTGCTGGGACCATCATGTGCTGTTGTGCTCCCCACAGGCCCACGAGCGATCCGAGAGCTCCGAGGTGGCCTTTGTCACGCAGTTGGTGAAGAAGCTGATGATCATCATCGCCCGCCCGGCGCGGCTGCTCGAGTGCCTGGTGAGTGTGGTCCTGCCAGAGGCTGGCCAGGGGCTAAAGAGTGCTGTGCACTTGAGGAGATAAGGAGCACAAAGCCTTCAAAAGAAAGCTTTGGATTCGCATTAAAACATTGATGAAAAGTAAATTGATATTTAAAAAAAAACAAAAGAAGTACTAAGTGGCTTTTGTGTTAATACAGAAGTAGCTCTCCAATGGAGTGTCAGCTGCAAGAGCAGCTAAATTATATTTTAGTATAAAGTTTGTGGCTGAGGGGCCAGATGTAGCTGTTGACATCCATGGATGCTACTTGATGCCACTGGATTTTCCTCATGCTGTTGTAGCTACTGCAAGGAGCCTGTGGATGTCTGTGTCTTGTGTGCCCGTGCCCAGAGCGCTGTGCTATGGAAGAGCTGTCACTAAGGAAAAAGTTCTCCACCCTGATATAGATGGTGTTTGGGCTCTGGGACTCAAACTCTTGCTGTAGACCCAGCAATTGCAGCTGGTATCAGATTTTCCAGCTGTGAACTCACAGTGTTATAGACCAGTGTGAGATCCAAGTGGCTTTGGGAACCTGGGTTTGAAATCCTATCTGGTGCTGTTGGAATACAAACAAAAGCAATTCCCACTGCTCTTTTATAACTTTATTTGGCTAATAATAATGCATTTTTTAATTTAATGCTAGAAAAGAGGGAAAATTGTTTAGGCAATCCCACTGAAATAAGCCACTGTGTCCTGAAGTTCTGCAACTACAAAAATATTTTTGTCTATGGTGAAGAAACAGCTTGAAAAATGTATTCTTGCTGTGRTGCCATGGCAAGAGGGCTGATATAAACCTTCAACAGAGAAAGAGGTGTATACAATTATGTTGTGGATATTGGTTATAGGATCTAATTCAGTGACTGTATTTCAACAAGATGTTGAAAAATTGTTGAGAGCGTAGGGAAGAGTCACAAAAAATTGTGAGGTGTCACAAAGCTACMGTGGAAACTTAGTTAATGGCAGGATGAAATTCCCTGGTGTGTCAGAGCACACAGGTGATGGTTCTGTCTGGACATGGAAGTGACAGGGATGCCATGGGTGTTTGAGGATCAGAGAAGCTGGCTRGATTAGGAATCTGTGGCTGACCATAAAAGCACAGTTAATGTGTGGATTATGTTGTGGACAGTGTGTCCATGGGTGGTTTTTATCCCTGGAGTCACTGGAAGATGAATGAGTTTTGTGGAGCTTTCTTTGACAAAGTAGACAAGAGTGGTCCAATCTTAGCAGTGACACCAGTTTTGGAAAACACGTGCAGAATTACTGAGAACGCAGAGACTTTGGAGGGTTCCCTTATTCCTCCTCATGGCTGTCAGATGGATTGCTTTGCTGGAAACCCTACAGTGCAAGGAAGGCCACTCTCAGTGATGAAATTGGCTGCACAACCAGCAAGACAGATACCTTCACCCGCTGATTCAAGAAATCTCCACCAGACTGTGCTGAAAATCCTGGGCACAATTCCATTCAGATTAATTCTTTGGCTTTCAAAATAATTTTTGTGATTTAGATGAGTTTGTGTGACTCCCAGTTATCTTCCATCACTTCTTCAAAATTTATTTTGGAAGTGAAGCCAGTGGAGAAAGGAAATAAATTTAAACTTGCCGTGTTTGTATTTGCTGCATTCACCATTGTCATTGATGCTTGTGCACGCTCATCATCCAGGAAAACATGGAACCTCAGAAAGCCTTGTGCACTCCTGTCTGTACCTGCAAAGAATTCCAAACTCAAGGTAGCTTTTAGCTGCAAATCAAGAGATCTCCAGGTTCTTCTGTGTCTTCTCCACCCAATATTCTGCAAAATGGGTGGGTGCAGGTGGAAGCAGCGAAGTCATTGAGATTTGAGTAATGAATTCCAAAGTATGTAGTGACAACCTTGACAATGAAGTGGCCAGACTCCAAAGTGTAGAAATAATATCTGGATCTGTATGTTTGCCATCCCTCGTTTTTTCAACCTGCATTGTCTTTCTAGCAATTTTTTTCCCAAATGTATATTTTAATCTGGTGACGTGAAGAACTAAATACTGATGTTCCTTTTAGCCCATAAACCAAGAAATACAGTAACAGATAGCCAACTATTTAAATAGCTTTTGAGAACTAAATTTCATTTTTATTTTTAATACTTCTTTGTGATTCAACCTTTAGCTTCAATTATATATGAATTTATAAACAGTTTTTCTACAATTTAATATAAAGGTTAATTTTAGTAACACAGCTCATTCTTCTTTCTGCCTTGTAAGTTAAATAAGTGACCATACAGACAGTTCTTGTGATAGTTGTGATTGTTTTAATGCTGATCAAGGCATTTAAGTATTCTAAACTTCAACTCTTTGGCTTCGGTCTTTGTATTACCTRTTGGACTGTGAAATGATTATTGACAGACTGAATCTCTGGGGCTTCAAGAAAATTATAATGTGGTTTGTGCATCTCTGAAACCATCTTAGGAAAAAAGTATCTGATTTATCCTTTTATTTTTCCATGGCAGTTGCCTCCCCTTAGTAGGGATCATTCTTCCATTTAACATTGACTAAATCTGCTACAAAGAAGTCAGAGCTGGAATTCATATATTTCCTTGATGGTTTATATGGGTTTTTTTTTTGTCACCAAATTGTTTTTTTTTTTCTTCTGTCCATTACTCACCAATGAATGACCTGCAGTCGTGCCTTGAGAAGTCCATCCTTGGCTCCACTGTCCCTTTCAGTGCWTTCTGGTGCCCATCTCTCTCTGTGGTGCTACCTGGTCTGGCTCCTGCTCTCTGCCCATTCTGAGACTGTTGATTAATCCTTTTCCAGAGGAGTTAGGAAGGAGCTGTGCTGCCTTTGGTGCCAGCATCTATTCAAACWGCATTGGAGCAATCATGGAAAAGTGCATCTGTTCTCTGTTCTTGAACCATTGATGTAGCTGTGCCTCACTACAAGCTCTAATTTCCTTTTTTTGTTTGCAGTTCTGTGCTCTTTTACTCTTTGGTTGTTGGCCACACACCAGTTCTTTACTGCTACCCTCACTGTTATCTGTGCTTGCTCAGCTCCATGCTGAAACTTCCCCTCTCACCCTCCCATTTCCCTGGAAAATTTTTGAAGAGTGTTGGCGAAGCTGCTCATTGCTGGTGCATGATGAGGTTTGTAGGGGGGAAGAGCTGAAGGTAACTGCTGAACTTGTTTCTAATCAAGCCCAAAGCCTGTCTTTCATTTCCTACTGTATCTTTTAGTCCAGTACAAGAGATCACACCCTCTATGACCTTTTCTCATCACAGATCTTCCCCTGGCACGCCCCGAAGTAGCAGAACTGGGAGGCGTGTCCACACTGGTGCTTCTATTAAAGATCATTTTATCTGAAAGTTGGGGTCCAGTTCATACAAAGTCCCTCCCATTCCTGTCCTTKTTTTGRTTTGCAGATSTAAACCCRTGGATGCCCCGTGGGATGTAACTTYTGTTATTTTTGCAGAGCAGAGTGGGGATTGTTGACTTGCTTSTTGTAACTGGAAATGTTTTGCACCACTGCTGAGCCCAGAATTAAATTTGAATGTTTCTGAGGATTCCCCTTCTATGGGGGAGAATCCTTTCCTAATTGTAAAGCTGCATCATTTACCTCTCTCTGTCTCTCCCATGGCTTTGCTGTAGGAGTTTGATCCTGAAGAGTTCTACCATTTGTTGGAAGCTGCAGAAGGCCATGCCAAGGAAGGGCAAGGAATTAAATGCGACATTCCTCGTTACATTATCAGCCAGCTGGGACTCACCAGGGATCCCCTGGAGGGTGAGAACTCTTCTGATGTACTTTCTAAACTGTTAAAAGGATAGCCAGATCTCCTGGTCACTACATAGCCGAAGGATGCTTTTATTTTATTGCTTTAATTTCTAGGCAATTTTTCCTTATTTTCCTGTTTGCTGTCAAATTCTAGGCTGTCCTTTCCAGCCCCATATCCCAAAGGAATGTTGGTGGGGTAAGGATGGCACATCAATAGTGACAGTTCTTTACTTATGATGTTAATAATGTCTCCCTGCATTAGCTGAAACAATCTTAGAAAATGGCTTTATGATTTAACTGTTTTCTCAGTGCTGTTGGACAGTAAAGGTAAATTCACCTGTTGTTTTTTTGATCTGCCTGGTTGGAAAGTATTCTGTCATCCCATTTAATCGTCCCCTCTGGGAAAAGCATGTTTTTTTGTCATTTCCCATGAGAAACCAGGATGAATAKGAAGTTTTAGCTGTAGGTGAGATTGAAGTTTTACATCTTGTGTAGCAGCCAAACCAAAGAGAGCAATGTAAGGACAGAAAYAGCTTTTCTGCAAGGTGCCAGAACTGCATATGGTAAACTTAATATAGACATACATTGGCCCAGAAGATTGTAACTTTAGAATTAGTGAGTTAATATTTCTGCCTGGCACTTTGCTGGCTGAAATGACAAGTTTTCTGAGCATGCACAGCTTGTTCAGCAACAATAGAAAGTGTGACAGAGACTGGAGGTTACTGTAGAATATTTCAACGATTGAACCAYACTTTCTGTTATCTCAGGAGAGCATAATTTTAACATAAATTAGTAGTCTGGCTAGGACTAGTTTAACTTTCCTGGTGTTTACTGGAATGACACTGACAGGTTGACTTCAAGTGAAGAGCTCTTCGGGAAAATTTCTACCMAAGATTGCTAAATGCAATTTAATAGCATTTGTTGAAATCTGACATTAAAGGGAAATTTCCTTTGATCCCTGTCATGGGAGAGAACCTTTCCATCGCTAATTCCCCCTACTAAAGTCAAATTTCCTTTAGAAATRTGTGGAGATGTCAAGGTGCCTTATTTCCTCTCTGTAARGAGGGCACCCAGAAATGTCAGTGATGCCTGTTCAGAGCTCGGAGCGAACGTAGGATTTGGGCTGGCGAAGTTTCCAACGTCTCCTGCGACAGCTGAGTGGCCTAAACTGAGTGACTTTCCCCCACTTCAGCATTTTGCAGAATCAGCCACATCACATGGAGGGCAGCTGTTTAAAATGTGATGTTTTTTTCTTCTTGGAGCACAGAGGTGCCACCAGGCCACACRCAGATATACATGTGTGGAATAGGTTTAATATTAACTAGACAGCACTTTCCCCAAACACGCATTTATTGCTTTTACTTATTACAGAAACCATCTAGAGTAAGTCAGGCTGAAATTAGAGCAATTAATTATATTAGTCTTTATAGAAAATACTGCCTGCAGCGTACAAGGTGCTAAAGGTTATCACTGTATAATTGGGGTGACTTTTTACAGAAGAAGAAAATGTCCTTCATCCTCTTCAAGCACCTCTTWAAATCTGTTTTTCTTGTATAAACAAAGAGAATAGTGTTTGATTGAGATCATTAGGAGTAATCTTTCCTCTTTCTTTTCAGAAATGGCCCAGTTGAATAGCTATGACAGCCCAGACACTCCTGAGACAGATGATTCAGTCGAGGTAAAGCAGTAATACACTCACTCTGTCTAGCACTTTTTTTTCCTCTCAAAAGAAGTAGTCTACAGTAAAGAATTAATTATAATGCAGAGTAATTGTAATTTAAAAAAAAAAGTGCTGACATTTAAAAGCTCATATTAAAACTAGAGTACATGCTCATAAAAATGTGAAAATCTTTATGCAGGGTGGTAAAATGCTTAAAAGATGCAAATAGGCATTATTACCAAGTTTTGTTGGTTTTTTAAATTCTTAGAGTTACAAATGAAAATCATCTGGAGGAATTCTTTATATCTACATTTGTAAAATGTGATGAGTTTTGAAAAGAGTTGACTTTAGTAAAACCACTGGAAAAATTTAATTATGTAACTGGCTAGGTTTCAAAGATCCTTATTTTATTGTTTTTTTTAATGCAATATTAWGGAAAAGCTTGAATCCTACAGTTCACTGACTTTTTCTGCTAGTAATTGTGGAGGGAATCTGCAAACACCCTAAGGACACAGACAACTGTCCTAAAGCTGAGGGCTCCAGAAGTTTAGAAATGGATTGAGTTTGAGTTAATGGGTGCCTAAAGAAGAAAAGGACAAAAGATACCCCATATAGAATTAAGGCATTCCTGCTCCTGATTTCCATTTTCTTGTTATCTTTCCCCAGAGCCGAGGGGCCTCTGTCCAGTCAAAGAAAACTCCATCTGAAGAAGAGTTTGAAACTATTAAACTGATCAGTAATGGTGCTTATGGGTAAGAGTTTTAGACTTTCAATTAGAAGAAAATGCTATTGTTGTCCTACCCAGCAAAGGGTTATAGCAAAGTGTGGCAAATGTCTGGGTTTTGTTGGGTCCAAAGCACAAAATAATTTCACTTGGGTCTTACAGAGGTTCTACACTTGTCATGTCTTCTGCCTTCTGCTGGAAGATGCCATTTCTTTCATGTATTCAGATTATATATATATATATATATATATATATATATATATATATATATATATGCAACATATGTGGCTGTTTGTGAGAACTTGGAATGCTAAAAGAAGTGCATTGAATTACACTGGGGTAAATCTACTGTGAGGAGCAATACATTAAAAAAGCTATTAGATTTTATTATCCATTGAAGAATCAAGTACGAATTCAGTYGGTTGCAGTTTTAACTGCACTCACAAACCTATCCAGAATTTTAAAATGCAGTTCCTGACTCTTTGCAGTTCATAAATCCTTACCAGTGAGGTCATTAGGCTGTTACTGAAAAGSAGTGATACCCAGTAGGTCATAACAACAAAACCTGAGCGTGTGCTTGAGTGTTTTGTGGAAGTGGGTGCTTAGTTAACAACAACTCACTTTTTAAAAATGACCCATGGAAAAAGTGTAAGCRTGGTTTTTAGTGAGTGAAGACACAATGGAGCATGCTGAAGAGTGATRTTATTAGACACAAAGATTTTATATCTCTTCAGTCATATTTCTGCACAAGCCCCATGTAACTTTGTGAAAGGGGAGAGAGGGGAGGYAGTTTTGCTGTTCACCACATGTCTTTATCCTGGGTTTATTTTATAKTCAGTGGCTGGTGAGACACAATACCACGTTAAATGTAATGTRCTCCAGAGAAAAGGAAACAAGTACTGATTCAATAAGGCAGGCAGACTGGATGAAAATTTTATTTGCAAACTGTATTATTAATGTGCAGGAATCTAATGATCTGCAAATGATAGAAACGTAAGAGATACTTTACTGAAGGAAATCCCTGGTGACAGTGCTGCGTCAAAWTAATTTTATGGAGCTTGGAAAGAAATCATGCTGATTCCATCGCTTTGGACAACTTTTTAAGTGAAGTGGTGAAAAATACATGCTCCTCTGCAGTGGTGCTTTTGGAAGTTTGTGACAAAATAGCTCCTTGTTTGTCACATCAGCAAAAACACTGGTTTATTCAAGAAGGCAGAGYAGCTTTGGGAAGGAAGCACCATGGGGTTCCTTCTTTTCTAGGGAAGCTTGCTACTGAAACRAGGTTTTATGGAGTCGTGGATAAGTCTGTCAGGCTCCATTCAAAGCAGTTACAATCACTGTTTAAAAACCCCAACAAAACAGCAAAACCACAAGGAACTCCAAAGCTAAACCCACCACAAACCAGTCTGAACTGAAAATGGACCTTTTCCTCCTGGTTTTGCAGAGCTGTGTACCTGGTGCGGCACAAGASCACCCGCCAGCGGTTTGCCATGAAGAAGATCAACAAGCAGAACCTGATCCTGAGGAACCAAATCCAGCAGGCCTTTGTGGAGAGGGATATCCTGACCTTTGCTGAGAACCCCTTYGTGGTCAGCATGTTCTGCTCCTTTGAGACCAAGCGGCACCTGTGCATGGTCATGGAGTATGTGGAAGGTATGGTTGTCATTATCCACGTCGGGCTGTGCATCCCTGGGACTGATAAAATGTGTTTGCAGTGGAGCTGAGCCTCACTGCTGAGGTCAGAAATGTGCCTGAACTTTTCAGTCTTCACTGGAAAGGAAACCCTCCCTCTCTCCTGTGGGATGGCGTGGCTGATCMACAGCACATTTGCTTGACACTGCAGTTAGAAAAAGACATTTAAGAAACATGGTCTTTGTTCTTCAGCAGCCTTTTTAAAAATGAAGTGCTATTTTGTGCTGGGATCGGTTTTTTAGGTTGTTTGGTTTGCTTATTCTGTGAAATATAATTTGATTTCACTTTATCAGTCTATCTTATTATAAGCAGTATCCACTGGTGGATAGGATTAATTTCTTATGCCTGRCTTGCTTGACTGAATGTTTCAGAAATAAGATTATAGTTATTGTATCAGTGCTCTTTCAGATAAATTAGTGGAATGAAATCAGATGTATTGACAATAGCAAATTTTAATATTAATTCCTCTTTGCAAGTAGAAATGAAGGTCGAATGAAATGTGTGGCCAGTGTTCCTTAGGAAGCTTGAATCAGGAGTCCACAGCCTTATTTTCTTCAAGGATTCCTTCAGTTTGCAAATGGTACAATTCCTCTCCAAGCCTGTCCAACATATATGGATCCCAGCTTTCCTATGGTTTTAATATTTGTTTTGAGTTCAAGAGAGAGCATAGAGAGGGCTTTAGAATTCCTGCTATCAAGGTTGTGAGAGCCTTTAGGAAACTTCATCTGATCCTGTATTGCAGACCCATAGCTGCTCTTTCTCACTGATATTTGCCATTTCAACATGACACATGTACAACTTTYTTCTTTTTCTAGGAGGAGACTGTGCTACACTCCTCAAGAACATTGGTGCCCTACCCGTTGATATGGCCAGGATGTATTTTGCTGAGACTGTTCTGGCGCTGGAGTACCTACACAATTATGGGATTGTTCACCGTGACCTAAAGCCTGACAAGTAAGCCTTTAGCCCCTCAGGGGGAACAGAGCCAGAGGATTCCTCTGTAGGCAGCAGGACATGGGGACTGGGGACAGCACTGAYCTCCAGCAGCATCTGATGAGTGGGAGGTTTTATGGAGTCTCTTGCTACTGATGTGGAACCAGATGGACACTGAGAAAGGGTGGGAAGAATGATTTCAGATACTATCTCAAAGCTGGTGCTGCACCAATGAAATGATGAGAGCAGAAGGTGATCTCACTGTTAGTTGCCTTGTCTGCTCTGTGATTTTTGATTGCATAGGTTTTTCCAGGTGTTTAATGGGGATGTAATACTGAGATAATCCTTAGCAATATCTTGTGTTCTTTTGGTTTTTCTGGGAAACAATTAAATGAATGTTACTTTATTTCACTTCTCTTTCTTTTAGTCTCCTGATAACTTCAATGGGTCATATTAAACTRACAGACTTTGGACTGTCCAAAATCGGGTTAATGAGTCTTACAACTAATCTTTACGAGGGCCACATTGAGAAGGATACCAGGGAATTCCTGGACAAGCAGGTAAGCTGAAAAATTGCACCTGTTGATGTGGGATCAGATGCAGGATTCTGCCTTGGGATAGAATCAATTTGTAGCACTCCTTCTCTGCCTTGATGCTGTGCTGTGCATCATGAAATGGGAGGAACAATACGAGTCTGTTCTCATGTTTGTACATAAATTGGCATTGTTTGTTATTTCAGCTGCTGGTTTTGGAGTGATGCACTTCAGCTCTTTGTTCAGGATACTGAAAGGGTGGCCCMGGCAGCAGGGCAGGTGTAAACAGGAGTTGGTTTAGGGATGTAACATGGATTTTGCTGGAAGGTTGTTCCACGATCTCCCCCTTCTGGTGCTTAGAAAGTTCATGGCAAGTTTCTATATGTTTCATGTAGTTTTGTCTAAGGGCTTAAACATTGATTTTTATCCCCATGATATTTACTAAGGGTCATTTTTCTCCTTAGCCTTCATTTTCCTAGGCTTAACCAGCTAAGTTCTTCTAGCTAAYGAGATAGATTTTCCTTTGATGAATGAATAGCTCTTCCATGTAACTCYTTTCAGCTTGAGTTGATATTTTATGGGAAGGAGCTGTTCTGGCTACAGGCTCACCACTGCCTTGTATAATGGATTAAAAAATCCTCTCTTCTGCAAACACCTAGGATCACGGCTGAATTTTTCACCTTTAGTTGTGCCAAGTGTTAATTCATAATCAACCTGTGGTGTTGTCTTCCCTTACTTCTGAGTAAGGATGCTTTTCCTAGCAGAAGTCTCTCTGGTCACTTGATCATATTCTTGCACTTTGCAATGTTATATTTTTTACAACAGTTTTGTTATTGTTGTTGCTGCTTGTAAGCCTCAGGCAACTTAGATCTTCCTAGRTAATTTCCTTAGCCGTTGTCCGTGCCAGCTGCACCTCCCAAGTTTAAGGCTGAAGTGTGTAATCATGCTGTGCTGCTAATTCTGCATCTGTGAAACCAAATTCTGTTAGYATGGAGATGTGAGAGGTTTGTCAAAACTCAGCTCCTGATAGCTGTAGCTGTGCCAGCAGACATCCATCAAGCTGTCAGACCTAAACACACAGAATATGCATTTTTCCCATATGCTTCCCTGTGCATGCACCAAAGAACTACTTAGCTGGCATGTCCACACTAGGAACWTTTGATTTCATGTGATGTTATTTCTGTGCAGGTAATGTGTTCTTCAAATATAGACCCTTGCTCCATGGAAGTAGTTCACATCATGAAGTGGTTAGTGGCAAAACATTAATAACTTCCTTGTAAAGTTCTGATGGGAGAAAGAAACAAAAAAGAGACAAAAAAAAAAAGAAAAAAAAGGACAAAATAAGCTTTGATATGAATTTGGCAGTTTGTAAATTTATTGCTTTGTTGCATGTTTCTCTTGAGGTGTGTGGGACTCCRGAGTACATTGCACCAGAAGTGATCCTGCGCCAGGGCTACGGGAAGCCCGTGGATTGGTGGGCCATGGGAGTGATCCTCTACGAGTTCCTGGTGGGCTGCGTTCCTTTCTTTGGGGACACACCTGAGGAGCTCTTTGGACAAGTGATCAGTGGTAAGTCTGCTCTGGCTCTGAAAGGGTTTCAAAATGTGCTTTAGAAATATTGAGGAGCCACAGTTTAGTCAGGAAGGAGTAGGTATAAAAAWGGGGTTTAATTTTAGTGTTTCTAACTTGCTGGGTGAAAGTAGMTTCTGTCTAATTTCAGCTAGGAAAGGTGGTTGTATTGCTTAACATCTTCCTAAGTGGTTCTGTCATGGTGTGGAAGTCATACAAATCCTTGTGGGATTGAGAAAAAATATTTGGGGATTTTTCTGTTCCGTCTTTTAACTTAAATGATGTAGAATATGAAAGGAGCAGCCGCCAACTGGTCTAATTCAGGCTGATTTTGGTTATTGTTTTTGTAGGTCCAAATGCCAGTCAATTAGTAATTTTATACAAATGAAATGAAAGGAAATTCTGATTAAAGGAGTACAATACATTGAAGCTGTTGTACTCAGTACCTTCACGTCTTGTGGCTTTTTTTAAACCTGTCTCATGCTTGGAGTTGGACAGACAATTGCTTTGTGCTCWCTCGGTGAATATGCCAGTGAAATCATTTCCTATTGGGAATGCTTTCTGAAGCAGTAAATTTTTAACACACTTGGCAAATGTCCTTTGTAAAAAGGAAATTTCAGCAAAGCACTAAATATGATGCATGAAATCGTTACCTGTGAATTGTTCTCTCTGTTCCAAGTGCAGTGACTGTGGGATGTGCAGGCTGGAGATACAGCCACAGCATTGTCACTGGCTTTGTTTATGGATTGTCATGGAAGTCCCATTTCATACTTTATTAATAGAGTCCTTAAAGCTTTTTTTTTTTTCCCTCCACAAGCACTGCTTGGATTGACAGCAGCTTTAGCTGATGCTGAATTTTATGCATTTTGGAAAATGTCAATGCTTGAATTACATTAAGCTGCTGAATTCAAGGTATTTACGCTTCTGGGGCAGTTCTCAACGCTGCACTTTGAGGTGTAGGAGCGTGAATGGTTATTCAAATTAGTTGGGAAGCTGGTAGAAAATGTCAAGTGTCTTTTTGTCCCCAGATGAAATTGCCTGGCCAGAAGGAGATGATGCACTGCCACCTGATGCCCAGGACCTCATTTCTAAGCTGCTCCGCCAAAATCCTCTGGAAAGGATGGGAACAGGTAAGAACCTTGTGCCCAGGAAAGCACTGCCCAGAAGCAGGAGATGAAGATTCCTTGCTGGTGATGCACATGTTGAAGAATGCTCATCCAGAGCTGGGGGGCAGTTTGTGCTGGATTCAGTGTCATGGAGCTCTGGGAATCAGTGTCAAATGTCCATGAGCCAGGCAGATGTTACTGTCTTGTCTGGAAATAGGAAAGGGGCATTGTCAGCTTGGCAACAGGACTTCTCTGATTTGTGCTGTTCCATTATGGGCTTGAGGGTTGTGTCTCCATTGGAACAGTGTATAATCAGATTTCTTTGAAGTTCTCTGTGACTTGGGGCTTAATCGCTGCCATAGATTTGCTGTGAATTCCTGGGTGTAATAAAATAAATGAAAACTTTCCCATTCCTAGAGGCCTGCAGTGTAGAATTCTCCAAACATGCAGCAAAGTCTGATAATCTTTTTGGCAAGGTCAGCTATGTGTGTCAGTCTTTCTGTGTTACAATGTCAGATTTAAAGTTTTACAAGCCAACTCTTCTCATTTCCTCGTAGTAAATAATCRTAAATAATCTCCAGCTACACTCTTGTTTTAAAATAATTTGTGCAACACTGGCTTCACAGCACAGCTCATCTTTCATTGATTTGATTAGCTTAATTTACTTTGGGATTTTTGATTCAAAACTACGCATTAAGGATAAAAAAAAGCTTAGAGATAAACATGTAACAGTTCCAAAAGGCACATGTATTCAGCAGACTTAGCACATGTGCACACAAGGGTGATGAATACATCATGAATTAATAATGATATCAGATGGTTTTCACATGTTCTTCTCTACTTAAAAATCCGTGTACTTGAAAGATGTTGCTGTCATGGAAAAATGTAGAGTTTCTTGCTCTATAAAATGAGTTGATGGACTGATTTTTTTTTATTTCTTATATACCTGTAGTGCTGAGACTGCTGTTTCACTTGGCATGTTGTAGTGCCASTGGCACTCAGCAAACCTTTTATCTATTTTCCTCTGCTCTTTTCTTTTCTAAAAAGACAGCAGCACCTGCTATGAATATTAATTTCATTTGAAAAAAAATGCATATACTGGTAGACAGATAGTCTTTACTTTTTCCTTCTGGGTCCCCAAGCTTCTGAGCTTAATAACAAAAGATACTAATTGAGGAAGATAGGTGAGCCCTGTCTTGTTCTAGGCACATGAATGAGTTTATTCACAACAGTGGAGCCACTCACATTCTAAGTGCCTCTCTGAGTTTGCTCTCTTTATTCAGTTATGAACAAGAGGGTGTTTAGAGTTTGAAAATTTTAAATTAAGGTCTTAGTTCATCATCTTGCAACTCGCTGTGAAATGYAGCAGCAGATGCTGTCTTCCAGCCAGTTTAGTCCTGTGTTGTTCCCAWACAGGAAGAGGAGGTGGGAAGGAGGAAATCTTGTTCAGGTTTTATCCTGCATGACCACTTGGGTAAAAGGATAAGTTGTTTCTCAAAATTCCTGGAAAATGTGTGACTTAGGAGTACTCAAGTACATTCTCTCAGGCTCTTGATATTTTTAGGGTTTGTTTTTCATGTTATGCAAATGCTGAAAGAAATACTGTGCAATAAAAGGTGCTTATTTCAGGTAGTGCCTTTGAAGTGAAGCAGCATCGGTTCTTTAAAGATTTGGACTGGAATGGATTACTCCGGCAGAAAGCTGAATTCATCCCACAGCTGGAATCTGAGGATGACACAAGCTATTTTGACAGTAAGACTAAAGATTTGGCCTAACTGGCATCATATTTCTTGTGCATATTTCATTTTTGAATTTGTTCAAGATAAGTCATTTTAGAAATTGAATAAAAAACTTGATGGAAATTGCTTTAAAACGTTTCTGTTGAATGCCAAGTAAGGTTTCTTTGAAGGCAAATTAATTTTAAATGAAAAAATGTTGGTGGTGAAGTCAGTTGGCCTTTCACTGGTGCCTGTGGTCCTGCCAGCCATGGCTCTGCAGTGAGAGGTGCTGCCATTGTCCTGCTGGGTTTATTAAACTTCTTCCAAAGCATTTGGTAAATCCAAATTCCTTGAGTTTTTGAGCAATATGATCTTTCCCTAGTGACTGTTTTCAGCCAATAAATTTTTCTTTAAAAACCCAAAACAAACCCTAGACCTTGAAGACAAATATGTGGGGAAAATTCTTAAGAGATTTAAAGCAATTTAAATTATTTTCACTGCAAGCGTATCACTTTATTTTAGTATTATTAACTCTAATGAGATATGAAGTGTCTGTCTGGTGTGCATAAATGCCTGGGAACTGCCATGGGATCAGAGCTGTGTGGGATTCCTGGTGTTTCRAGATAAGCACCAGACAGACTCAGTGCTCTTGGGAAAGAAGGGAGGAGAGATCTCTGTTCCCAGAGCCTCTGCTCCCTAACTTTTCTGGTTTGACTTGGGGAGCTGAGCAGGTGGAAGGGGCTTGGTCAGGGTGAGGTCTTGGTCAGGTCTTTTCCCAGCTCCAGCTGCACAGCATCATGCTGGGCTATTTCAGTTCCCTGAGATATGGAAATTTTTTGCTCTCCATCAGTGGAATCTCTCCCATCCTAGGGCCATGGGACTGGTTGGATCTGTATGAAGCACATCTTTGCTCATCTCCTGTGTTTTGCTGAGGGTGAAGGGAGGGAGGGAGCAGCTGCCTCCAGCCCCTTGGCTCTCACACTGCACAAGCAGTGATTCTATTTAGATAGTGCTCTTCCAGTTTGGGGAAGGGGCTTTTAGGCTGGGGCTTGTTTGGAGAGGTAGGATGGGAGAGAGGGATGGATTGGGAAATCTCTGTGTGTTTGCTGCAGAGRATAATTGAAATCAAGCTGTGCAGAGGGGGCAGAGGGGAGGTTTCTGCATACTGAGGCTGTATTGATACAACATCCATGGAGGAACTGATGTGCTGGGCTTACTGGACGTGGAAATGTGAGCTTTGGTCACTGGTTTGGGTCAGCCACTGGCAGGGGCCCAGTGCAGCCACAAGCAGGTCCTGGTTGGTAAAAGCACCACGTTGTGTCCAGGGCTGCAGACCACTGGGTGTGTCCAATCAGAGCCTCAAGAAAGAAAATGAAACTCCCCACGTGGCCAGCAGGTTGTGAGGGTGACCTTGATTTGAGTCCTTTATAAAGGCTGGAAACATTTCACAGAGACACTRATAGGAAGTGGCATTGCTGTTATAAACCCTAATACAGAAAATGTTAGAATTTATAGAAATAGCTTTCTGGATGATGTGGTGCAGCAAATTTGGCTCACTGTAGCTATTAGCTTTCTGTAGCCAAACTTATTAGTGCCCACSCCACAAAATCCAGTGTGGCTGGCTTAGAAATCCAGTGCTGCAAATCTCAAAGCACAAAATCTCTTTGGAGGAAGTTTGTGCATTAAAAATAGCTTTGTGTATTGGCTGCTTGCCTATTTTCTTTCACAAAATCTAATCCTTTTCCTAGTTGCACAGGAAAAAAAGATTTTTTTTTTTGGTGGGTAAATATTTCTATTTTTTTTAAGTAGGCTTGTATGTATGTGTGTATACAGGACAGATTTTTGTACAATCAAAAAGCTGTTTATTGGAAAGTGGGACAGTGAATTGTTTCCGTGTTTCCTTCCACGTGATTGTTTGCTGTAGGGAAGAAATATCCCTACCATGAAGGGTCTGCAGGATTAGACACCTTTTGAGTATCAGCTGCTTCCAGAATGGAATACAGCTGAGAGGATAAGATAAATTCAGTGCMAAGGAGATATTCTTCACTGGCAGCTACACGGGATGACCAAAAACTGGCTGAGTATGTTTCAACATAAAGGGAAAAACCCTTATATAAACACTCCAGGTCCTTTAACCAGCAGCAATGCTTGAGGTGTGAGTTTTCAGCACTCCCCACACTGATGGAAGTGCCATGTCTTGTCCCCAGCCCGTTCAGAACGGTACCAACACCTGGATTCCGAGGAGGAGGAGGACACCAATGACGATGACCACGTGGAAATCCGGCAGTTTTCCTCGTGTTCGCCCAGGTTCAGCAAGGTAGGGACATCCTGACTTGTTGAAAGAAAACAATTCAGAGAGGAACACGATTTCTTTGCTGCGTATGGGGCAGATTTTAACCGTGTGGATGGTTTGTGGGATCTCATGGTGTGTAGTGTTCACTGAGGGAAGAGAATTCTGTATGAGTTGTTTGTTCTGTGGTGATTTGGAGCCTGTTAAAAGGTGAGTACCAGAATAGTTGGAGAATTTTTTATTTCTTCATGTTTCACCAATATGCAGGGTACTGTGTAGGTCTTTTCCGTGTAGCATCTGATACAGATTGATGTTTTTACATCAATTTTTGGGTGTTGGCATAGGGAGTATCCAAAGCCTGTTTGGTCTGSACTGTGTCATTCTGAAAGGGCCTGCCATAGGATGGCATTGGGATGAAAATGGATTCTGACATTTGGAATAAGGGTCTGAAATCAAAGGGGCTAAGAACAATAGTGCAGTTTCCATCTCTGTGGTTGTTCAAGGTCTCAAATAGAGCCTGAGGARCAAAAGGCAAGGTGACAATTCCAAAGAGAAGGGTCTGGGCACATAATCCATCATGAATTAGAYGTGCCAGATTATTGAAGCAATAATTTTCCATACTGGGTTTACCAGTAGGAAGGCCATAGCTGGGGTTTTTTGGTCTGTTCTGGGCAATGTTCTTGASAATGAACATGGACCAGTAAAAGGCAGTCCAGAGGAAAGCAGCAAGAATGACCTGACTCCTACAAAACATAAAACCTCTGGTGTTTTCAAATGCATGGCTGCTAGAAGGAAAGGACTACACTGGTCCTCYTGATGAAACATAATATGTTTGGGAGGGACAGAAGGGAGAAAAATGCTGTTTTGAGGCAGCCACTTTATGAATTGTATTTCCCTCTTAGTGAGATGGGAGTCGGAATTTTACTTAGGAGCTCTGAAAGGGATTTCAGTTTTTCACAACAGTTCCTCCAGTTTTCCACTGCTGAAGTCAGTTCTTAAGGACCAGTTTGTTCTGCTTTGTCATCAACCARGCTACAGTGGTTTAAATAACATTTACTCTTAATTTTATGGAGTTGCTCCTGATTTGCATCACTAAAAATGTGTTTAAAATTGGACCTGAGGATTAGTTGGTGTTTTTTGAAAAAGTTCTCATGAGTACGTAAGGGTTTCTTTTCTCTGCCTTTTCTCACCRTAGGTATTACTCATTTGTTAGACTGAAGCTTTTCTTTAGAGTTCAGTGTTTTTGCCACAAAGAGAGAAAGTTCACTTTTAATGAATTTATTTTAAGACCTGGAAAATTATACAGCATTTGTAATGTGGGAGGCATAAAAGGCTCATTATATTTTGAAATTCTTGTCTGACAATTCAGCCATATGATTTATTAATAGTTATCTTGTTGATGCTCTGAATTTTTAATAACATTATTTTCATTAATCTCTTCTTATGTAAATCAGGTCCACAGTCAAGTGTAGCTTTAAAAGGATGGATTTTTTTTGCTTAATCATTTAATTATTTAAAGACGGCTGTAAAACCAAGAAAGGCACTTTCATTAAGCTGTCAGCATTATAGTAGATTCCTTGAGGAGGGCAGGACTTTTTTGTTCTGAAATAAGCTTGGGGCAATGCTGATAGAATGATGATAATGAAATGGGGTCATGAGCGTGATGCCTATCACTGAAGTGAATTTGTGTTGTAAGATTTCAAGATCCAGATGCCAGCCCTCAAGAGTTGTGGAGCTGTCTTTAGCAATAGCTCCTCTTAGATTTGAGAATCATTAAAACRGAAAATGAATTTTCAAAAAGTTTGTCAGTAGTTCTGTTGTGTTTTCAAAGGAGAGACRTTGGATGCTGTTGTAAAAAAGCATTTTAGTGTTTCTGAAGCTGGGCCCTTTTCCTTTSCTCCCTGGCACACCTTGAGCATTTCAGAGAGAATTTTGAGAAGGATTTTGCCCCTTGCTCAGAAAAGGCCCCTTGGGTTGGTTTTCTGTGCACAGAAGGATATTTTGCTGCACACAGGTGTACAGCAGCATGGAAAGGCTTTCCATCCACGAGGAGAGGAAGACTCCACCACCAACCAAACGGAGCCTGAGYGAGGAAAAGGACGATCGGCTGGACAGCCTGGGGGGCTTGAAGAGCCGGGACCGCAGCTGGGTCATTGGGTCTCCTGAAATGTGAGTTCTGTGCAACTGAGGCTTCTGTTTTCCCGCAGAAAAACCAGCCCAAACTTTCTGTGACCAGTGTTAGGTCAGGATAGCTTCATATGTTGGATTTCCGCTGGAGAAGCCTGGGTTGAAAAGCTAAAAATGAATGTGTAGAAGTGACRTGGTCCTTAAATGTATCTAGTTAAGTACTAACGTCTTCTAAATTTGTAGCAAGTACTTCAAATGAATTGAAAGGTATTCTAACCTTAAGGGCAGATTTCTGATGTTACATCAGAGATGTACCCACATCAGTTTTTTTCATAAATTAATGCAAAGCCTGGTGTTGCCAGACTCTGACCTTTTGTTAAAAGGTAGAGAAATCATTAGGAAAGTTCAAAGTTTCAAAAGTTCAGAATATGCCCAAAAACTCTTGTGCTCTAATAAAAAATGTCAGTAAAATATATGAATACTCAGAATTTGGATACCTGCCATGTTCCTGGCATTACTGAAAACTTAYCTTTTAAAAGGGATGTCTCTCATTTTATGCAACCCCTGTAAAGCTTTTACACTAATGTTTGGCATTAGGGAGAGCATAAAATGTGGCTCTGACCTYGTCCGTATGACTCCATTAAAAACAAAAACATTTTATAGAATGCATTCATAACTGAGGTGCGCTTCATTTTGCATTAGGCTTTCCTGGCTTCTAATCTAGAGCAACCTCAAAAGAAAAATCCATGTAATTTCAAAAGGAATGTGGATGATGATTTGCAATTTTCAATTGTGATTTTTTTAAAAAATAATAGTTAATGTCACGTTCATTGTAAGGTATTTTTCTTTGAGTTTATCCCTGCCTTTCCTAGAAGTTTAACCATTGGAAATCTAAACTCAGGCGATGTTCAGCTCTTTGTTGTTTTAATTCATGCTGTAGTTTGGTCACCAAACTTCACCTTGAATTGTCTGTAGAGGTGTGATTTGGGTCTGTGCCCTACTTTGACCCTTTAAAGTTGATTTTTTCTTGTCTCGGTTCTCCCCTCAGCCTGCGCAAGCGCCTGTCCATGTCCGAGTCCTCGCACACGGAGAGCGACTCCAGCCCTCCGCTGACCGTCCGGCGCCGCTGCTCGGGGCTCCTGGACATGCCCCGCTTCGCCATCTCCACCGAGGACGAGGGGGCTGCCCTCAAGAGGCCCCAGTCCGAGGGGATGCTGCTGTGCACSGTGCAGGCGCGGGAGGGGCTGCCCGTGCCCATCCCCGAGCAGCCCGTGGAGCACGAGCTGCCGCTGGACGGGGACACCGCGGCCACCACGCCATCCACGGCCACCAACAGCGCCTTGGCGCTCACAGGTACGGGCTCGGTGTGGTGGTGTCCTGTCAGCAAGGCTGTGTTAACGTGCAGAATTTGCCTTGCAGAGATTAACTCTGTAAAAAACTGGGTGTTGGGATGTGACTGCCTCTAAACTACTGTTTTAGYGTAGTTTTGTGGATGTGTTTGCTTTCGCAAAAGTGTCGGTGGTTTCATCTCTTCAAAGTTGCATCCTAGATTTCAAGTCCTGTCACTTCAAATTGATTTAGGTCTTCTCRTGGTTGAGATTCATATGGTCTATGCCCACTTACGACCACTGGGTCCCTACCTGAGACAGCATTAATTAAAGCTTTAATCAGAACAGATCCTTGATGAGTTGGWGCTGGAGAATGTGGGTGTCAGCCATATCAACAGATCCCTGCTTCCTATGGTTTTATTCATCCCAAGACTTTGGAGAGACTTGAAATATGCCGTGGAAGTGGGGCTTGTGTCARGGACATGCTAATTATTTTAACAGCCAAATATGCCGAAATTCATCCAGTTGCAGGCTTAGAAAAGTGCAGCCTAAATTTAGTAGACTGGCTCTTAGAAGTCAATGTTTGATTTCTCAGCARCTTTGACTATCGTGGGGCTTTCCTCCAGCCCTGGGCTGAGCTGAGCCTTCCTGTGGTGGTGCCCTGCAGTGCAGGATGTGTTCCCAGCTCCTGCCCCTTTCAGGGCATTGGGAAGGCAAGGGGTGAAGCTGCCTGTTCCTGAGAACAGAGGAGGACAGAGCTGGGAACTGCTGGGAAGCAGTAAGGAGGCAAAAAAAAAGGAAGTTTAGAATAATGGAAGAAAGAGGGGAAGTTGAAATGAAGGTTGGTAAAAGAAAATTTGAGAAACAAGGCATATTTAGGGGAAGAACTAGATTGTAGGATTGAATAACAGGGACTAATTGGGTAAGAAAATAAGGAACAAGTTGCTGTGGGAAACTGGGAGTGAGCAGGTACAGCAATTGTGATGCACTGAGAATGGAGAGGAAAGGGGGACTGGGGAAGTCGTCAGGATGGCAGCAGGAATGGAYAAGGTGGAGGGCAGTTGGCAGATGTGATGGGGGACTGAGGGCAGAAGGTGGGAAGACCATGGCCTTAGAAGAAATTTGCCTCCAGAGTAAAGCCMAAGATCCCCATATCTCATTACTCCTCTTCTGGGATCCAGTCTGTGGAATTCCTTTAAAATTGTCCCATTCCCCTTTATCTTCCATGCTCCCTGAAGAGCCATAAGTGAAACCTTGGGTTCTCAGTTTCAATGCTAAGAGCCTAGAAACATGCTGTTAAAAATGGCAAAAACACTTTCATTGCTAATTCGAGTATCTGCAATGTGAGATTGGCAAGAATGAAGCTCCCCTGGGTAGCCCATTCCCCTGAGCTCAATGTTGGAGCAGTCTTTGATCTCGTGCATGGGATCCAGGGATGCCAGTTCTCCCTGTCCCCAAGTCTGAGGCTGGAAAGTAGTTTAATTCCTGTCCCTGTCTCGGAGTGCTCCTCTAGTTTATCCAAATTCAGGTTCCTCATTGTCTGGGAGCCTGATTTGAAACTCTGTGGCTCTTAAATGTTGAACAGGGATCTGGTCCTGAGGTCTATGGGAATGGTGCTTTGAATTTTTATTTTCATGGTACTTCCTGCTTCGCTCAGTAYGCAGAGCAGTGGTGCCCACTTAAATAACGATGATCAATGTTTTGTTCTGTCCTCATTGTTCAAAATGTGGCCCTTAGGCTTTATTTATTGCATGCTACTTAAAATTTGCYTTTGAAGACAGAATGATTAATTTCCCTCGTGGACTTGCTGTRATGCTCACCACTTTCATTTCTAAGCACCTTGTAAATTCTAATTACTGTATTTTCACAGTGCCCCTTTAAGGTATCACATGGGGGACTGAGGCTCTGGCCTTGAGTACAGAACCCCCGGCCCCCAGCATCTGCTGTTGTTACATGTAGTCTGATCTTCAAGATTATTTTGCATTTTATCTATAATTATAGCAGGTTAAGTAATTCAAGACTAAATTGCAACAGTGCACAGAAGGGGGCAAATCAAGGCTGTCTTTGCAATCCACATTTTTACTTTCCCTGTCTTGAGCACCTTAGTATTCTCTTTAAARTGTATTTTTTATGTGCAGCTCCAGTAGAACCCAGCTCTTCTATTACAGGCAGTTTTAACTTAAAGATTGACAGTTCTTGCTGGTTGTAAAAACGGAGCACTTTCTATAAACCTGTTTTTGTCTGTGAACGATCCCATTGAAATGGTGTRCAGAAGTGCACCACCATGGCTTTAGGATTCATGGAACTGCCACTGAGCAATGTGATTTCATTAGCGAGCTTCTCCACAGAACAGAAGCCGCTAATTTTCTGTGTTCGGAATAACACCATTCCTGTAAATAAAAATTCAAGCCCTGGGGTTTCTTCTTAGGAAAATTTACTCTTGGACTTCATGTAAACATGACTTTGATTTAATGTATTTTGCCTGTAGGGGAATAGACTGTTAGGAATTCCCTGTGGTTCTAATCTGTTTTAATTTAAACTGTAGCTGGGAGCACTGCAGATTTCTCTGATCCACGAGCTCGCAGTAATAGCAATGAAGGCTCAGACTTTACCACTCCAAAAGCCATCAGCGATTTGGCAGTGCGGCGGGCACGACACAGGTTGCTCTCTGGGGAATCAGGGGAGAAACGTACCTCGAGACCTGTCAATAAAGTGATTAAATCCGCATCCGCCACTGCCTTGTCTCTCCTGATTCCCTCAGGTAAGAAATGCCTCGAGTGAGGCATTGTCAGAATCTGCAAGCGCTAAACAAAAGGTCTGCAGACAGATCCTCCCCCTTGGCTGTGCTGGAATAACGCCTTGGCTGGCAGGAGGGGAGAGGTGTAACTTTTACAATCGGTTCAGTGTTTCCTGCTCGCAGGTTGGTGAGCACTGCAGGAGTGTTGTGCGTGTGGTCTGACTGCAGCTTCTGCAAACGGCATCTGGGCCCTGGTTTGGTTTGAATTGACTCCTGGCTGCTCACTAGACAATGGTGCAGCAAGGAGCTAGAGAGACACAGARTGATTTTAACCCTCTAGGTGCTATTTTTTGGGTCACATGCTAATTACATCACTGTTTGGGAACACAATGCGTGTGGTGCATTTATGSGCCGGGAAGTTTCAGAAACTGCAGATAACTTGGTTGGGATTGAGTGCTCAAGATTTGAATAGTGTGAGTAACTCAGTGAGTCAGTGCTGAGCTGCTCACCCTSATGGCCCAGCTCTGTCTGCAAGCAGAGCCAGACCTTTACCATTCCCAGTGCCACGTGGTAACTCCTAGAGAGCAGCTCAGCATGCTGAGCTGTGACACACTGGTTCAGCAGGGGGAATTTCTCCCCACAGGGATTTTGTCCCTCTTCCCAGAGGATACAACCAAGCTRTATTTCCAGAGCTGTGCCTGTTCCTGCCCAGAAGGGAGCAGGGAATGCAGCTGGGCCRTGAGCAATGCCCACCTGCTCCTGCCAGCAGTGAGCTGGAGGCAGGGATGCACCTGCTCTCGGCACCCTCGTGGTGATGCACATCACATTTCTTGTGCTTTGGRCACTGGCAGCTTTTTGAACTACAAACTCCCTCATGAAAATCTCTAAAATGTGTATTTAATCACCCAGCAAAGGTTCCTCCAGAGCTGCTCTCATCTGCCRGGTAAATATGTGCTGGGCGATTCAGCAGGTGTTTCTTAATGGATTAGAGATTACCTTCTACAGCWGCATTTAATATTCCTGCTYTTTGGGTTTATTTTACTGATGTYGACCAGCTTCACTTTAAAATGAGAKTTCTGTATTTGCTTTGTATTTTAAAAAGTGGATGTTGTTCCACCAGCAAGCAGAGTTGGGTAGTTTATCAGACAGCTCATGGCTGTTCATTTGGGAAACTCACTCTAAAGTACACTTGCGATAGTTTTTCAGCAGCAAAGTCCCTGCAGTTGCTAAATTTTAGGGTTAAATATTTTTGCCCCTGTGAATTTAAAACACTACCGAAACTGCCTACATGTAGTTGTTGTCTGATATTCGTGGGTTTTTTGGTGTTAATACTACATGATTTGAGTTTATCTCAGCACCAATGTGTAACTTGCACCACGATCTAGAGACATCTGATCCTTTGGAGGAGGATAATACACCCTAACCTGGAAATGGGGCATTGCAGGATTGTTCCCAGTAGCAAATGCTTATGATGGGCTGTAAATCCTGGAAAGTGGAGTGGAAAATATTGTGACCCAACCACAATCCCATCTGAGCAGTGCTGCTGTATTAAATACRCACCTCCAAATGTGCCTTTTTAGAAACTGTGCTATTTGTATAATGAAGCATGAMTTAGTTTAAGCTGCAGACAAACCCAGCTCTGGCAAAGGCCACCAGCTTTAAGAGTAGATAAGGTTTCGTAGCTGTTCTCTAACAAGAATTTTCTCTGTTTTGGAGGCGYGGTTTCCTAATTTTTGCCCACCTTTGTGTCATCACTGTAGATCACCACACGTGTTCTCCATTGGCCAGTCCAATGTCACCTCATTCTCTCTCCTCCAACCCATCTTCGAGGGACTCCTCACCCAGCCGCGACTTTTCTCCTGCTATCGCAAACCTGAAACCACCAATCATCATCCATCGGGCTGGCAAGAAATATGGTTTCACTCTGCGCGCCATTCGTGTCTATATGGGTGACAGTGATATCTACACTGTGCATCACATGGTCTGGGTACGTCTCTGCTTTCCTAAAAAAAAAAGCACAAGTGCATCTAGCCAGGGGCGTGGGGTTAACTTTAGGAATTCTCTTTTTCCACCCTGTTTTCTCTCTGCTTATTCAGACCCAGTGTTATCTTTTTTGGGGTGGGGGAAACCCTTTATAAATAAATAAATAAATAAATAAATAAATAAATAGATAGATAGATAGATAGATAGATAGATAGATAGATAGATAGATAAATAAATAAATAAATAAATATCAGCACTTTGGGGTTTTCCTGTAGGAGTTTTCAAGCCCATCACAGAACCACAGCAACCTTTCTTTCCTTCTTTTTTTTCCCTGGTTACATGAATCCACCTTCTTCCACCTGCAGCACATACTTTAAAGCATGTTTCTGTGTACATACTCTCYTTCTCTTTATTGGGGTTGTTGCATGAGGGCCCATTATAGCTAATTTATTCAGACTTGTGTTAGTGATTATAACCTGCTTCTGATCAGTTCAGTCTGTTGGGGTTTTCCAAGCAGTCGCTCGGAATTGATTACAAGCCTTAAAGCATCACTGCTGCTGTGCTGATTGCCATGGGGTTTAGCTCTTGGCTTAGTTGTGAGCTGTGCTAAAAGGTCTGGTTTCCATGTCCGTATCATTTCCCTCCCACTACTGCTGGTACTTGATCTCTGTGTTCCTTTTGTGTTAGCGTAGATGACTTCTAGGAATGATCCATTCCCTGGAGCAGTGTTGTTAGAGTTGTGTAAGTTAGGAAGAATGCAGTCAGGGTATAGGTGGTTCGTTTTTCCTGGTACTTCTGTGTTCATTAGATAATATGGACTTCATACAGTTTGGTCCCTGTTTAATACTCATTCTTATATAGAGAAATAATTTGAAACTGTTTTTTGCCTTACCCGTTTCGTGCTTTTCTTAAAAAATCTTGAGTTTTCCAAGAAAGTCATTTGGAGTCTTTCCTGGCCAGAGGGAGAGGTGTGCATTTCCCAGCACATCTGTCTCCTCAAGGTGAAGGAGGTTTCTATTCTTGACCAGGGACAGCGAAAAGGCAGTGTGTTCTCAGGGGAAAGATCTGGTGTTGGACAGGTTAATAAAAGAAGGAAAGTGGAAAAATAAACTCGGTTTGGGATGAGACGTAATTTAGGCTCCTTAAACACATGGCAGAGTCTTCTTAAAAGTTGCTGGCTAGCTTGGATTCCAGCATGTACATGGAAGAATGCTTGATTTGGGATRGCAAAGAAATTGAAAAAGATTGAATGTTCATTGGGAAATCAAGAGCATCTAGTTAACATTCCTGAGTGCTGAAAATTTCTGAAAAGTGTGTTAAGAAGAGCTGGTCTCTTGATCAGCTTAACMGTGCTGGCTGCCTTGGATCAGGATAAGACTGGCGTGTGCTGGGGAGGAGTGGGAGAGCGCAGGGTTTGTGCTTGGCTGTGCCAGGGGGGCTCCTTCTCTGGAGCAGCTGGCACTGGCTGTGGCAGGAGGTGACAARGATGGGATTTGAGTCTCATCTGGGCCCGTGGTCTTGCACATTCCCCTTCTCAAATCAGCCACCCCTTGTCGTTGGCAGCACGTGGAGGAAGGGGGCCCRGCCAACGAAGCCGGTCTGCGGGAAGGGGACCTGATCACCCACGTCAACGGGGAGCCGGTSCATGGGCTGGTGCACACCGAAGTGGTGGAGCTGATTCTGAAGGTAAGGGCTCAGCACTGTCACATCTTGGGAAACATGAGCAGCTTGTYTAAAATGTATGTAATTGGCATTGTCTGAAATACAAGTGTGTACACAGCACCTGGTGGAATTTCAGAGCAGCTTTGTACTGGTTGGTGTTAAAATTATCCAGTTAAATGATGTGTGTTTGATACCTCTCTGAGCAGAATCCATTTACAGAAAAAAACCCAAAGTTCTGGGCTGTTCCAAGAGACAGAAGTCTTTGGGATTGCAAATAGAGGAGCAGTCAGGATTATTATTTTTTTTTAAGATGAGTGAGACAAGCCAGGCTCTGTGTTGCAGATTCATCATGATAGATGCCTGATATGCTCACATCTGCCATCAGTCAGAGCACTGGGAATAGGATTGGTGACAGAATATCACTTTGTTCAAGTTTCCAAGTATTACAAGTATTAAATTGAGTCATTTGGGATCTCAATGGGAGAGGTCAGATGCTATGTTCTGTCTGCTCTGGGAAGCTTTACCTACCAGCTGGGGTCTGAGCTAATCATTTGTGAAAGCCTGACTAACGAGGGCTCTCTCTCGGCAATTCCTTAATAAATGATAGGTGGAAATGCTGAGGGGAAAAATGGAGTTTGACAAAGGATTACAAAATGGCAGGCAGCAATAAACCAGCAGCCTACCTGCTTTGCCTGCAGATCCGCCTCAAATAACCATGTTTTAAGCAATGTCTCTTTGTCCTGTGTCTGACAGAGTGGAAATAAAGTGTCCATCTCCACCACACCATTTGAGAACACGTCCATCAAAGTTGGTCCAGCTCGGAAAGCCAGCTAYAAATCCAAGATGGCTCGTAGGAACAAGAAGAGCAAAACAAAGGATGGTCAGGAAAGGTTTGTTTTGGTGTTTCTCTATTAAAATGAAAGGGTAACCAAGATAATATAAGAGAGATCTTGTCAAATCCATTTGCAGATAATGTATATCAGCAGATACGTCCTTTAGTTATTTTCCTTTTTTTTCTCTTTTACTGTGACACAAAATTGACCGAAATATGCTAGTAAATGTAAATAAATCATTTGGGCTTGTAAACAACTTTTGAATGTTCTTCCCCAGTAAGAAGAAGAGCTCTCTGTTGAGGAAGATCACYAAACAAGCATCGCTGCTTCACACCAGCCGGAGTTTATCATCCCTGAACCGATCCCTGTCATCTGGAGAAAGTGTGCCTGGCTCTCCAACTCACAACCTGTCTCCTCGGTCACCAACCCAGAGCTACAGGTCCACGCCTGAGTCTGTACACTCAGGTAAAAAAAAAATAAAAAGAAATAAAACAAAACTAAGCAAAAACAAAATCCAGCTAAGCAGGAAAAAAGTCTTGGAGGAGACTTTTGCTGATTAATTTTGGAAATAAAATACACAGCACCAGGTAGTAGGTCTCTTTGTGAAGCAAATGACAGCAGTGATGTYGATTACCTTAAGGATGGATGTGTTCTTGTTCATTGATTCATTTAAAAATGAAAATCCATACATCCTTTTAAGAATGCATTTGCTGTCTTACAGCATCCTTCCACTTTGATGAAAATGTGTGTTGTAAGTTGCAATCTTTTCACAGCARTTTGACACATTTTCTGTGTTCAGAAAAAAGAAATCAAAACAGTGTGGCAAAGTCATATTTGAAAATTGAATCAGCTGCTGGAATAAAGAGATTTGCATCTGGAGAATAGCAATGAAACACGTGGTTTGTCTGATCAAAGGGGTTTTTTTTCAGGAAAGTGTTCTCATAGCTGAGTGTTTTCTTACTGTGCTCTGGTGTTGGGTGCTAATGATGTGAATTTCCATCAGAAGCCTGGCAATGTTACCTTTAATATCACTGTTGTGCTTTGGAGTAACATGGCATTGTGTCTTGACTTATTTTCAGTGACTTATTTTAATGGCCAAATATATATTAATCTCGATATTTTTTTCTTTTTTCTTTTTTTTTCTCTTTTAAGTTGGCGGCAATTCTTCCCAGAGCAGTTCTCCCAGCTCCAGCGTTCCCAACTCTCCAGCCAGCTCCGGACACATCCGCCCCAGCTCCCTGCAYGGCCTGGCACCAAAGCTGCAGAGGCAGTACAGATCCCCAAGGCGTAAATCCGCAGGAAACATCCCCCTGTCCCCTCTGGCTCACACTCCGTCCCCAACCCCGCAGTCCACGTCGCCGCAGCGCTCCCCATCTCCTTTACCWGGACACTCAATTGGCAGCTCCAGCATTATTCAGTCTTTCCCAGTGAAACTACACTCCTCCCCACCGCTGGTGAGGCAAATTTCTCGCCCCAAAAGCGCCGAGCCGCCACGATCCCCTTTGCTGAAGAGAGTGCAGTCGGCTGAGAAGCTGGCCGCCTCTCTGTCCTCCTCTGAGAAGAAGCTGGGCTCCTCACGGAAGCACAGCCTGGATATCTCTCACTCTGAGTTTAAGAAGGAGATGTTGCAGCGGGATCCCAGCCTCCAGAGCTTGCAGGAATCTGCCAACGAAACGAGCGGCGGCAAACTGGGGCTGGCAGAAAAAGGGATGCTGCAGAARCCGGGCTCGCGGAAGCTGGGAGCCATTCGGCAGGACAGGGTGGAAAGGAGGGAGTCTCTGCAAAAACAGGAGGCCATCAGGGAAGTAGATTCTTCTGAGGATGAAACAGATGATGGTTCGGAGGACAGTCAGGATGGGAGAAGGCTGGACAAGCCCCGGGGCAGTGGAGACCAAGGCTCCGATTCTTTTAATGAGGATAATAAGTTTTCATCTAAATTGGAAAGCAAGGATAGCATTGAAGATGATGCCTTTCTACCTGAAGATCCAAAAGGTACGGAAGATTTGCAGAAGGGAAATAGTCAACAAGCCAAGGCTGTTTCAGAGCCGCTGCAAATCACTGTGCACCCCTCCCCACCAGAGCTCCCCTCAAGAACTTCTCCAGAAAAACTAGCTCATTCAGAAAAGCCATTCCTAAAATCTGAAACAATTGCAAAGGAGCATAAATTGCCTGAAAACAAAACTTTGGAATGTTTAGGTTCAAAAGATAGATCTTCTGAAGCAATCAAAGATCTGGGGAGAACTACAGGTACTCAGAAACCAGTAGATGGCACAGAACATACACAGTGCCCGTCTATCAAACTCCTGGAACTTGATGAAGGTGATTCTTCTGGGGCCCCCTGTGGTAAACTTGACTTGAAAGAGCCTGTGCTAACAGAAAGYAGTCAGAAAAAACAGGATTCCAAACCTCTGCTGGCACTTTCCTCGTGGTGCACRGCCAACACGAGCACTCCTGTCATGGTGATTCCCCCAGAGCACAGCGAGAAGGGTGGCAAGGAGACKCCTCAGCCTGCGGAACAGCACAGCTCCTCCTTTCTGTCTCCTGGGAGCGCCAGTGAAACATCCCAAAGAAGTCCCAGCCCCGACAAGCAGCAGCCCAGCTCATCCCAGGCAGAGGGTGCTGTAAGCTCCAGCAAAACGAGCCCAGCAGGACCCGTGTCCTCCCCAGTGCCCGTCCCCGGTGCCATCGAGCGCGCGCTCTCCCCGTCCCCGCTGGCACCACTGGCCCAGAGCGTGCTGGGCCCTTTGAAGCTCAGTACMTCTGGGTCGGGAGAGGTGGAAAAGAGGAAGGATTTGGGTGCCTCCTGTAAAGAGGAGAGGGATTTGAAACAAAAAAGGCAGGAAATTTCACAAGCAGGAGAATGTCAAGAGAAAGCCAAACCCTCTAGCGTCGATGGTGTGAGCACGAGGAGTGGGTCCTGTGCAGAATCCTCGCACCCAGCAAAGCCCTGGGAGGCAGCGTGTCCCATGGGGGCCAAAAAGGAGGCAACGTGTCCTGTGGTGGTCAAAAAGGAGGCGCCTTTGTGCAGTGCTAAAGCTTCTGAGGCATTGGTCGGGAGCTGCAAAATCACTCCGTCGAAAGAGCMGTCTCATGCTCTTGGACAAGCAGCTCTGAGAGCCTCTCCTCTGCCAGATGGCAGCACGAGGCCCTGTAAAGAAGGGACTGTGGCACAAGCAAAAAGCAAAGAGGCTGGTAATCAGTTAAAAATACAAGACTTTCCCCTGTCACATGATGATGCTGTGAAGAAAACATAGCAGCATCGCTGGTACTCGTGGACTGGAGCGTTCTACATTCAAAATAGAGACTGCATGTTTGAATTTTGTAATATACACTAATATAAAATAGAACTTGTGTACATCTATTTTTGGGAGGGTTTTTTTCATACTGTTTTTTGTGTTTTTTCATCCTTGCTATTCTATTTTTGTACACAGTAATGCTTGCTGTTTGAGGTCTCTTTAGAACAGGGTATCTTTAAAGCAGGGCTTAAGAAACAGTTTTGTTTGGGATTTTTTTTCTTTCCAGACTTCTTATTTTGCCTGAGTTTAGAGCCTGATGTGCTCTTCCCTCTAATCCTGCATTTATTTGAGATCCTGAAATTTCTGCGTGCAAAAAAGGCAGCTTGATTTTAAATTTTCTGCTTYTCAACATTCTCTTTGAAATTCCATTGAAATTCAAAAATGTCAAGWTTTTGCTGCAATTTTACAATCTGATGTCCCTTGACGGAAGAATAAGAACACACTCTCTTGCCTGCAAGTTATTGTGGAGCTGCAGACCCTCTTTGGTGCAAGTACAACCTTTTTGTCACCATGTGTCTTCATAGTCCTGTGTCCTTAGAGGATATGGAGGCAAAGGACTTGGCTGGAGAGGCTGGACAGAGAGAGATCCCTGTCTTTAAAACAAGGAAGAGTATTTTTCAATGGAATTATCAGAAAGAGAAATTGCCAGTCTGCAAGCTGGCTTTTTTGGGAGATTGTTTTTAYTTATCCTTTGTGGAACACATGGCAACTTTTCCCTCTGTTTTTAAAATTTTAGTGATGTTTTATCTTGCTTTCTCTGGCTTCAATTCATAACTTGCCCTGCCTCAGAGTAAGTGGCCCCAGGAAAGGGGTGCCTGTAGGTTGGTTTTAAAGTAGAGAAAATTGTAGTTGCGTGTTCTCCAGTGTGTCTGGCAAAGTTATCTCGATGAAAAACGACCTTTGGAGACTTTTCCTTCTCTTGGTGAGTCTAAATAGGTAGGGATTTTAAGGTGTCCCTTAACATTTCTGAATCGGGGCTTGGGAAACTTGCTGAGTTTTCTGAATCTGCCCGTTTGAAAAACAAAGGAACCTATGAAGAGTTCAGACTCCTCGAGTTCTGTGGTCAAGCTGCAAGCAGACTTCAAAACACATGTGATATTTTCAGATTTCAGCTTTGATAGCTAGATCATTTCCACTGCTGAGGCCACTTTCCATTAAAAACTTACTCTTTGCTCTTAGGTTTAGACATYGCTTAGCTTTAAATGTGACCGACTCCGGGTGACAGTGCTCCTTGCTGAGGATTAGGTCAATAGTAACTCACCAATAAATGTGTCGATGGTGATACCTGTAGCACTGTAAGCCATTTCTTCATCCAATTAAAGGTTCCTCTCAATGAACACTCCCATCATTTGTCCCAGATTGTGCTCAGCTTGTATCCTAGTCTTGTCTGAGTGGATCTCCCTGCGGATCACCCTCCAGGGATAGTGCCCTGCTCACTGGCTTACTCTGTTATGACTGTGCAACAGTATTCCAGGCTAAAACCYGTCTCTGTTGGTCTGATTTCCTTATGCTGCTGCTTCCCTCACTGTCTTGGCTTTCTCTGAACTTGAAGTTTTGATTCGCTTCCCCTAAATGCAAATACGTTTATTATATAGGAAAATATTTTCTCCATCTCTTTCAATCTGATTTCAGTTCAATCCACAACTCTCAAAAAAATCTCTGGAATCTCACCCTGCTTCTTGCTGCGTAGCAGTCGCTTCCCCCCTGTTATATACTTGATTTTGGCTGCTTGGATTTCATTTCTGGACCAAGTTTTGGTTTGGTTTGAGCTTTTTTTTTTTTTTTTTTTTTTTTTTTTTTTTTTTTTTTTTTTTTTTTTTTTTTTTTTTTTTTTTTTTTTTTTTTTTTTTTTTTTTTTTTTTTTTTTTTTTT